GCATTCTGTCTCAGATTGAGATCAACCAAAAGCCGAGAACAGTAACGGTCAGTAGCGACACGTGGCTCGGGTATGTACTTCTGTGTCACTGATATGACGTTGGTGTCGAACCCCATTACTTTGCAGCCTACAGGCTGGATGTACAACTGCTCCCTTATCCAGTTCCTAGAGCAGTTCGACATCTCTGTGAAGAATTCGGAGAAGTGCCAGCCGACCATGAAACGCGTTGACAAGATTATTGACTATCTTACCTACCAGATTTACCGGTACATGAATCGTGGCCTCTTTGAGAGGGATAAGATGATGTTCAAGTTGATGGTGACTATGAAGATAATGGTTGTCGCTGGTAGGCTCACTCAGGGCGATGTTGGGCTCTTCTTGAAAGGTGGCTCGGACCTGGACGTGAAGTCAGAGAGATCGAACCCCAATCGATGGATGGTGGATAAGGTCTGGCTCAACGTCCTGCAGCTGTCGCGGCACTCCTTTGGCAAGGAGCAGCTGCTGTTCTTCCGGGAGCTGCCTGATTTCATTAGTCGAAATGAAGCCGCGTGGAGAGTGTGGTATGATGAGAACGAGCCCGAGAGATGCCCGGTGCCGGACTACGAGGAGCGGCTGAATATGGATAGGAACATTGGGTTCTTCCTTCGAATGTGTCTTGTGAGATGCATCAGAGAGGACAGGACGACTATCGCTGCTGCGCAGTTCATCAATAAACAGCTCGATCCGAAGTACACGGCACCGGTCACAGATAGTATCGACTCGATCTACTGTGAGTCCCAGAACCGTAAACCCGTGTTGTATTTGTTGAGCGCTGGAAGTGATCCCACATCTATGATCGACGACATAGCAAAGAAGAAAAAGAAATTCCCGACGGATAAGGTGTCCATGGGTGAGGGACAAGAGGTTATCGCTTGGGAGAAGATGAAGAATGGCTTCCTAGCTGGGACATGGGTCATCTTACAGAACTGCCACTTGGGTCTGGGCTTCATGAATCAGATGGAAGATATCCTCACACGCACGCCGGAGATTGCTGAGGATTTCCGACTCTGGATCACATGTGAGATCACCAACTTATTCCCTATTGGTTTGCTGCAAATGGCGATCAAAGTCACGCTTGAGCCACCCATGGGGCTGCAAGCTGGTCTGTCTCGTACTTATACGACGATGGTCTCACAGGAGCTCCTAGACAAGATTGATCACGAGAAGTGGCGTTGCCTGGTCTATGTGATGTCCTTTATGCACTCTGTAGTTCAGGAGAGGAGAAAGTTCGGCCCCATAGGTTGGTGTGTGCCATACGAGTTCAATAATTCGGACTTAGAGGCCAGTCTCCTGTTCTTGGAGAAACATCTCTCTACCACGGTTAGTGTGGGTCAGCCTTTGAGTTGGACAACTACCCAGTATATGGTCGCTGAGGTACAGTATGGTGGTAGGATTACTGATGACCTCGATAGAGAGCTATTCAATACCTACGCAGCTAAGTGGTTCTGTGATGAGGTCTTCCAGAAAGCATTCTCCTTCAATAATTACCCTAGTGATCACGAGTACACTATTCCTGAAGGTCTCGAAATTCAGCAGTACCGCGAGCACATTGACAAGGTCCCAGCGGTTGACTCGCCGCTCATCTTCGGACTGCACACCAATGCTGATCTGACTTATAGACAGTTGGAGGCTTCGATGATGCTCACTACTATTCAGGAGACTCTGCCGAAGGAGGGTGGTGGAGGTTCTGGAAAGAGTCGCGATGAAATCGTGAAGGATAAGGCCAACGAAGTGCTCTCCAAGGTTCCTCCTGATTTTGTCGAGGAAATCTTCAGATCGCAGATAACCAAACTGAAGGGGCCACCCAATACTCCTGATAAGGGATTCGCAGCTCCGTTGAACATTTTCCTGTTCCAGGAGCTCCAGAGGATCCAACGAGTGATAGGCATTGTTCGAAATAATCTGCAGTCATTGGTCATGGCTATTGAGGGCACTGTCGTGATGACACCGGATCTGCTCGAGGACTTGAATATGATATTCGACGCACGTTTGCCGAGGAGGTGGACCCATGATCCATCAGGGGCGGAAATAAGCTGGCTCATGCCCACTCTGGGTGCATGGTTCACAGGTTTATTAGATAGAGTGAATCAGCTGGGCACATGGCTCGAGAATGGTAGAGGTGCTATGAAGGGATATTGGCTCACGGGCTTCCTGAACGCCCAAGGGTTCCTCACTGGTATGAGACAGGAAGTGACCCGACAGCACAAGAAGGACCAATGGGCCCTGGATGATGTCGTTACCCATACTGAGGTGCTCTCCTACGACCTGGAGAGAGTCAAGGATGTCCCAGATGAAGGTCAGAATATCTATGGACTGTTCATCGAAGGAGCACGGTGGAATCGCCAAGACGGTCGATTGGACGAGTCCGAACCCAAGAAGCTGTTCACGACTATGCCAGTGATCTATGTGACAGCGGTGACTATGAAGGATAGGAAGGCAAGAGGTGGTGAGTATGGTCCATATGGTCCATATGACTGCGCGGTATACAAGTACCCTAAACGCAATGATCGGTATTTGCTATTCCGCTTGAACCTGAAGACTGATGTGCATCCGAGTCATTGGAAGCTCCGAGGGGTGTGCTTGTTGTGTGCTACTGAATAAGTGTGAATGGTGCCATGACAACATGTGAATGACGTCGTAATGTTAACCTGAAATTGGATGTTCTTGGCTTACGAGTAGTCTACTGCTAATTTGAAGGCGATTTGGGTAAAAATTGGAGATTTTAAGTTTTCTGTTTGTAGTGAGGGATCTTTGATCTGATGAGAGGGAAGCTCCACACAATCTGTCTGCCTCATCGGAGTCGTGTGAATAGCGTAGTTCTGGATTAGACATATCATTCGTATAATTACTATCAATAGATAATGGTATATACTAGATGTAGGTATTAAATAGATAAGGGATATGTGTGATTCGGTAAAGAGCATGGCTTTTGTGAGATTATTTTCCGGAGGTAAACCCATGGCAACCAATAAACGACTGCAACACAACAAGTCTGATGTGACCAGACAATTTAGTCTGAACTGAAAAATACGAATAGAAAATATCCCCCGGTAAGCCCCTAACCCTCTGGGACTCACCTCCCGAAAAAAAACCTCAAATATAAGCTGAGGGCCGGACAAGTATTGACTCGTTTCAGCTGAGCCGTCTTCATAAATTCGAAGCCCGATGATTGAAAAAGGGCAATCTATAGCCCTGATAAGGTGCAAAGGATAGCAAATATGATTGCATTTATGAAACCGTAGACAACAGGCGAATGACTACTGGGCGTTGTGGTGGCAGGAGCAGGTCTCGCAGTCGTACTAGAGGCAGGTGTCGGAGTCACCGTAGAGACTGGTGTCTGAGTGCTGATGGGAGTAGTTGTAGGGAATGGCGGTGTGGTAGGAGCTCTAGTACTCGTAGGAAATGGTGGTGGGGTAGGAGCTCTAGTAGTCGTAGGACATGGTGGTATGGTATGGGCTCCAGTAGTCGTAGGACATGGTGGTGTGGTCGGAGCTATAGGAGTCGTAGGACATGGTGGTGTGGTAGGAGCTATAGGAGTCGTAGGACATGGTGGTGTGGTTACGGAACTGGCCATAGCGCTGGCCACTGCCATCAGACAGAGACTTTGCAGCATGAGAGAGACCATTGCGGGCGGAAAATGCGTCCACGAATGTTGTCGAAACGGTCTGGTACGAGGTCTCAGTAGGCGTCACATTTGACTTGGCGCGCGCCCTCGCGTCGCGACTCGCCAACTTGCGTAGCGCGAACCTATCGCATCGTTCCTTGTAGCTACAAGGGACGGGGAGTAACTCACCCCGGGTCATAGGACAGCCTTACGGGATCTATGACCGGAAAGCATATAAATCAGTGCTCCACCAAACCGGCTAAGCTTAAGAACGCGCAAGGCTTTAGTTCTCAACGACCCTTTGTTGTTGCCGCTCTTATCATCTAGGGTGTAGCGTCGGCTGACTCAAACCCCGGAATAGCTGGTGGCAACTCGGTTTCTCCGCCCAACGAAGATGGGGTCTCAAATAGGTTGCAATGAACGGGGCTGGTCCTGCACGTGTCACAACCGGCGTCACGATATTGCGCGCGTGAAGAACACAAGACCCTCAAGGGAGCCCTTGGAGTGGGGAGTCGACACATAGCCATCTCTACTAGTATCGGCCGGGTTCTACACTGCAAGGGCTGGTTGAACACGAGTGTGTCGATGCTGTCCGTAGGCTTTGGTTAGGGCAGTAGTGGAGATGTATAGGAATCAAAGGCTTCGCCGTTTGATCGTCCCCAATCGGCCAATGCTTTATCTCAAAGGTGGTCGGTATCACGCGAGTCAGAGAAGTTGAATGCTCTTGGAATAGGAAGAGGAGGGAGGAGTGGTGAAACTCTGATAGTGAAGTTATCGGCCACATAGTCTCCACCGGGAACAAATAAGTCTATGGGTCCCTGGACACATCTCTGCTTCCGCTCATTATACTCCATTACACTGCTAAAATGGCGGACCTAAACTCCAACTCAAGATATGATTGCTTTTTAATCAAGAATAGAATCTCCATCTCATCGAGAAATAATAGTAGACAATTGATGGGCGAGCTGAACAACAGCAGCCATCGAGCTCAGAGTAGAGCGGTTTCGTACGAAACAGAGGTTGGTGATTGTATCTCTGCAAACTACAAAACTTACTCCTAGGCAGATTTAACTCCCTATTGGCCTTGCTCTTTAAACAGCTGAATGACTACTCGTCGAATTACGGGCTTGAATGGCGGGAGAGCTCCCGAACGGTGCCTAGAGCAGAAGCGCAAACTTGCGAACGGACGATCAGTCCAAAGAAACTCCGCCCACCCGCATCAAATGGTACACATCCTGGTTAACAATCGCATCGACACAAGGGGGGACCTCCGATGCACCCGCAGCCAGGGCATTCCTTCTTACAATAGTCTGAACAGGTTGGCCCTCCCAGTTCACGGAGCCCGTGGGAGGGTGGTTTAGCATCGGTTGGGAAGATGAAGATAATAGTACATAGGATGACGAAGGCATTACGCATCTTACTGAAGAATAATCCTGAGCGGCGGTATCTAGGTGAGGGAATGAGTTCTGCGGATGAATTCGCCAGCTAATACTTGTTTTTCATAACAGGAGCACTCATTAACCCAACCTTGCGGAGTTTACCTGGAACGTCAATTTTTTTGTGGCGCCCGCACGCACCTGCACGCGCTCACGCTTACCTGCACGCGCTCACGCTTTCCTGCACCACTCCTGTGGACGGATCTAGTCGAAGTCGTGATCGAGTCGTCGATTGATACTATAGGTAGTCGATGCTAGTGACTCTGGCAACACAATCCCAAAGGTAGATGCGGGTGTAAGGTGATACTTAGCTGCGGGCGACAAGGTTGGCAGGGTTGCCAACAGTGATCCTCAAAAGAATCCCTTGAAAGACTCAGAGTCTTAGACTCTGTACGCAATCGATCATTGACGCATGCATACAAAAGCTACGGATGAGGCCCTCGCGCCCGCCCATACTGTTTCTTTGAACAAGCAGGGCCGCACAGGCGGACAACAACAAAAAGGTAGCTGTCGATGGCCGAACGGGGTCGATTCACATATAGCGATCAATCGATACAATGCAGCTAACACTGTTAGCCTAACAGACTGGCCAACAGGAACGGAAAGATCCTCCTACCACACTCCCGCTTACCTGCACGCACTCCCGCTTACCTGCACGCACTCCCGCTTACCTGCACGCACTCCCGCTCACCCGCTAGAACTAGGCTAGTTCTAAGAACTAGCCTAGTTCTTAGCTAGTTGTTCCCAATTAGTTGTTAGCGTTTGTTCCCAATTAGTGGCTAAGCGGTGCAGTGACGATAACGTCGTATGTGCTGTGATTGAGTGTTTGTGAATCAGTGAGCTCATTGTTTTTTGCGGCGCCTGCACGCACCTGCACGCACGCATGTATATTCCGTACCTATCCATCTCGAGTCCATGCTTATCGCTCTGTACTGAGCATTCAACACTATATTGGCATCACGGAGTCTGTAGGATAATCCCAACAGTGCTGCGACCAAAACATGTCCTCGTCCAACGGCACCGACACAATCGCACATGTCATGCACGCATTGCGGTTAGCTTCTTTCACTCACGCCCCTCACTCACGAAGAAATAATCGGGTATGTCCGAGTTTTCGTATTTACAAGCTTCAAGCTGTAAACTCAGAAATCCAGACACATGAGAGAAGGAAAGAATATAGTTCTCTTCCTAACTTGAAAAAGGAAAGATGAACACATTAGATGCAGCCGTACTATTGCTGCGTACATGCAGCCTATTTTCGCCAAGTATGTGCAGACCAACATGATAACATCGACCACTGACTTGACAGTCATACCAGCGTTTAGAGCTGACCAATGAGGTGGTTGGAGCTCAGAATGGATGATTGGAATAATCTTCGTGAATTTAGCCACGCAGGTACGCTTGAACACAACTAAAAAGTATCATGTTTGAAAGGTTTTATAATCAGGAAGTTAACATTAACACTGAGCTGCATAGAATCGTCATCACACTCAGCATGTTGAGTCAGCACGGTAAGCAGACCGTAACGCACATCAACATAGATAGTATAGGTGACGACTGAAGGACCGCATTCAAAAAAAGTGTGCAATCAGAAGAGTAAGAAACGTGAACAAGCTTCAGTGGAGCCAGCGGATCATATCATCACAACTTGTGACGTGATGCCTTCCGAAAGAGAAAATGCACCAGAGAGTGAGAAATTTTCCTGGTATAACAGTCAGTGATTACAAAGAGAGTGCATTAGTAGTGAGAGTGTACATCTTCAGAGTATACTTTATAGAATAGTGGTGAAAGTTAATACGTGAAATAGTAGTAAAGTTAGGATAAAAAATAGCGAATGCCTCAATGGAGATGAAAAGGCGACAACACATGCCTAAGAAATATTGAGAAATAGCAACAGTATATATCAACATGAATCACATCAAAACCGTGGAAGTTATCCCGACCTACTGCGAACACTCGCAGGGCGTATCAGTACCAGAGCATACACTCGGGATCAGCCAATACTTGCAATACGTGCCTGGATGGACAGAGTTGCAGAAATCGTCACATTGAAGCTCCCCACCGCTATGAGGAGTGGTGGTGGATGGAACGAGTGCAGTCTTTGTGCTTGATTCAGTCGTAGAGTGACGTGACGTAGAACCATGAGAAGCCGACGTAGTGCTTTCGAATGGTAATGTTGTCCGATGTGTTGTAGTGAGAACATCGGTAGTACCACCGCACGAACATGGAACATTAGACCCACTGCACACGCTGGGATTTTTGTAATACATGCAATAGCTACCACTGGATATCGAATCGCAGAAATCGTCACACATGAGATCACCACCATTAGTCGTCGTTGTGGCACTCGCAGTGGTAATTGTCGTACTCGTAGTAGTGCTAGGAGTAGTAGTCGTCGTCGTACTCGTAGTAGTGCTAGGAGTAGTAGTCGTCGTCGTACTCGTAGTAGTGCTAGGTGTAGTCGTCGTCGTCGTACTCGTAGTAGTGCTAGGAGTAGTAGTCGTCGTCGTACTCGTAGTAGTGCTAGGTGTAGTCGTCGTCGTACTCGTACTCGTAGTAGTGCTAGGTGTAGTCGTTGTCGTACTCGTACTCGTAGTAGTGCTGGGAGTAGTGGTGGTCGTCGTCGTGGTCGTACTCGTAGTAGTGCTAGGAGTAGTCGTCGTCGTGGTCGTACTCGTAGTAGTGCTAGGAGTAGTCGTCGTCGTGGTCGTACTCGTAGTAGTGCTAGGAGTAGTCGTCGTCGTGGTCGTACTCGTAGTAGTGCTAGGAGTAGTCGTCGTCGTGGTCGTGGTCGTACTCGTACTCGTAGTACTCGTAGTAGTGCTAGGAGTAGTGGTGGTCGCTGTCGTACTCGTAGTAGTGCTGGGAGAAGTCGTCGTCGTCGTACTCGTAGTAGTGGTAGGAGTAGTCGTCGTCGTGGTCGTCGTCGTACTCGTAGTAGTGGTAGGAGTAGTCGTCGTCGTGGTCGTCGTCGTACTCGTAGTAGTGGTAGGAGTAGTCGTCGTCGTGGTCGTCGTCGTACTCGTAGTAGTGGTAGGAGTAGTCGTCGTCGTGGTCGTCGTCGTACTCGTAGTAGTGGTAGGAGTAGTCGTCGTCGTGGTCGTCGTCGTACTCGTAGTAGTGCTAGGAGTAGTCGTCGTCGTGGTCGTCGTCGTACTCGTAGTAGTGCTAGGAGTAGTCGTCGTCGTGGTCGTCGTCGTACTCGTAGTAGTGCTAGGAGTAGTCGTCGTCGTACTCGTCGTCGTACTCGTAGTAGTGCTAGGAATAGTCGTCGTCGTACTCGTCGTCGTACTCGTAGTAGTGGTAGGAGTAGTCGTCGTCGTGGTCGTCGTCGTACTCGTAGTAGTGCTAGGAGTAGTCGTCGTCGTGGTCGTCGTCGTACTCGTAGTAGTGCTAGGAGTAGTCGTCGTCGTGGTCGTCGTCGTACTCGTAGTAGTGCTAGGAGTAGTCGTCGTCGTACTCGTCGTCGTACTCGTAGTAGTGCTAGGAATAGTCGTCGTCGTACTCGTCGTCGTACTCGTAGTAGTGCTAGGAATAGTCGTCGTCGTACTCGTCGTAGTGCTAGGAATAGTCGTCGTCGTACTCGTAGTGGTATGAGCATGAGAGCACCATGTATCATCCCACTCTACAAATCTATTACTTCCTTCAGTGTAATCCCATACGATAAGATCACATGAGAAACCCCTCAGAGCACCAGTGCCGGCGTTTGTAATCTGATTCATACGGGAACCAGCGCCACAACCGCCAACAACAATGTCAGAACGTCCATTCGGTGACTTCACATTTCTTCTGTAGACCGAATCACTACCATCTCTATAGAAGATATACCCGTCCAAAACTTCGATACCAAATTCACCAGTTGGCTTGAAATCGTACTCGAAGTTTCTCGTATTCGATCCAATATTCCAACACACTACGACATTGGATCGGCCACCAGATTGGACAATGTACAGAGTATTGCCAAACTTCCTAATACCAGCAGGCTGATCAAGCTTCTTCGAGCCTTGACCCTTTCCCTTTATAATCACAGTACTATCCCAACCCCAGCTCTTCCTCACGAACATGTAGATCATATTATTCGCAGAGTCACTAGCGTACAAGACCTTCTCTACATCATCATAATACAGGCCACTCCAAGTTCGATGAGAGCCATTATCGACCACTTCCTTAATACCATCACCATTTGTGTTATAAATACCAATCTTGTCATTAACAACCGCAAATATCCCAGACCCGTCGGCTTTAACAGCGATACAGTCAACCTTGTCGTGAATGATATCAGTACGAACCGAACCATCAGCAGTAACCCTCCACAACTCATATCTCCTGGTGCCCAGATCTTTGCCGGATATATACCAGTTACGAGCACCATCGAAGTCATAGTCGATCATATCCACACCATCTTTAGGAAGGAAATCAGGTCCCATTGTAGCACGATCATAGATAACCTCGGCCTCATTATTTCTGCACCACGACGATGACAGCGACGAGGTTTGAGCAGCTCCGAAACTCACTAGTCCACTAATGAGAACTGGAATGATCATAGAATGTACCGCTACCATGGCTTCGAATAAAAGAAAAAGGCTGAAATGATATCACTAGGAATCTAGTACAATCGAATTACGCAGGGATTGAGGTCGACAACTACTCTACTTCGCTCAACTCTCGTTGAACGAGCTAATGGTTATCATGAAGACTAACGATGTCGATGACATCCTAGCGCTAGTATATTCGCAGGGAGACAGGGATCTTAAGCGGATGTTGGATATTGTGACGACGTTGTTGTCTCAGGGCGTTGTTGTCTCACAGATCTAGGAGGAGGTTCCTGATATTTGCGTTGGTTCCGACGTAGTCTGTCTCCCCTCGTGTGCTTGATTCAATGTGCTCGCATCAGGCAGCGTGTGATTGCACTCATCAAAGCTGTTACAGTCAGGGGCTGTGTTGGTGTTAGATGGGCAAATTACTGCTAGTATCTCCAATATCACACAAGGTCGACGCGGTGACCGCACTGGAGTAAATGTGAGAAACTGTGAATGTCAGAAGTAGTGGAGCTAATTGTCAAAGTGTGCGGATGTACTGATATCACTGTGTTCCAAGTGTGCACGAAATCGGCACGTCGTAACTGTGTGCCGATAGTCGATACCGCTCTTGCGAATGCGACGGTGCCATCAGTCTGTTGGATTGTTAGTGTTCATGTCAGACTTTTCCGTGAATGATATCAGACAGTTCTCATTCGGGATAAGTTGAGTATCAATTGTATCAACTTGTTGAAATTTATTGTTGACTCTTGATTGTGGCGTATCATCACTTCGCGTATGTCGATTTCGTAATCTTTGTCATCCGTCGTCGCATTCCACCACAATCGCAACTCTTACAAACACAAAACAGGTCTTCGATGATTCATACAGTTCATTGTCTGGGGAAGCTATCGAAAGCAAGGAACCAGTGAGAAAGTTTAGTAGTCGTATCGAAAAAGAAAAGAACAGTTCAGGTAGAATTCAATTATAGAAGGTGACTTTTCTCCAGATGTCTGAACTTGCGGTACACAGCTACGCCAACGCTGACAATTGCGATCAGACATACAATAGCCAGCCACACTGAACAGAGACATATCCGAGTAATCGGCGACTGTTGGAACTCACGTAGTGTATTGCCCGAGCTTTCCAGCTCATCCTTCATTTTCTGTGCTCTCCGTTCGACCTCTGCCATTGATGACGATCCCGGACTCGCATGCTGTAAAATTGACCATAAAATGAGAGGCGATTTGATACCAAAACTCACAATGTTCGCAAGTCCTTCCTCCAGCATATCAAGATCGCGCTTCCTGCCTCGACTCGAGTCAGCAGCCTGTAGAAGAAATATGTTTGATTCTAGTTTGACAAACGCTGTTGAACATACCTCGCGGGAAATTTCCATCAGTTCCTGCTTCATATTTCGGAATTGCTCGGCCATGTCAACATTTCCACTAACTTCAACATCCCTCTGCAGACGATCCAGGGTCTGCTGTAGAGCTCCAGCCCTTACCTGACGGGGGGAGGTTGGCCCCTTGCGAGCCGCCCCTATCCTTGACTTGCCTGAAGCTCCTTCATTCCTTGTTCGGTTCTCCAACGCATCGGCTCCAGCTCCGTGATGATCTTATACGCAGCCAGCTTCAAGTCAACCAGCGAAGCTACGAGGGCCTCTGGTGAGCCTACCACATGGTGATATACGAATCAGGTCAAGCCTCGTCGAACACTTACTGGCGAGAGCTTTGTCTCTAACAGGATCGGGGTGTGACAAGTCATCATAGGATTCGGTAACGATCTCAGCGTCCTCTCCCCTGAGTGAAGAAGTCCTTATAGTTCACTAGAACAGTGGAAGACTGACTTCTGGCCAGGGTCATAATTGACGACATTGAGACTGTTAAGCGCCACATAGTCGACTAAGTTGATGATCTGCCCGCCAACTGGCGCGACCAGAGACGTAATACCAATGTACCTGACAACAATGCAGTGCATCGCTCATTGGAAAACAGTTCGTTATCCCTACCCATTGGGCCGGATTCGGAAATTAGGATCACTGACTTGATAATTGATCAGTAGTGTCCAGGGATCAGTATCCTGATTTCAACTCATATTAAACTGATACATAACCATTCAAAACACTAACGCACCGAGAAACGTCCCTGCACGACGACCGATTCAGGCTGAACTCTGACCTGGACCGTCAACCTGCGGTTCCTGTAGTCCCAGAATGAGCCATAACCTGCATCAAACTAATCATCTACCCGAGACTGCATAATTCACTCACCAGTTGGGAGATCAACTTGGCGATTGAAGATGAGCGAGCCGTCGTTCATAGCAAGAGAAGCACTCGGCTGTAGATCCATCCGTCCGTCAACAAAACGGTTGTTGGGGAAAAATATTGCCATACCATTGAAGTTACTCTTATAGCCCATCAGGCCCAGACCTGTCCACAATGTAACGAAGACAACCTTTGATGACACCTCGTTCAAAATATTCAACGACGACACTTACCAGCATTTTCGAGAAGAGCCGTGCAGCGATCACTGCAGTGTCGCACGTCACTCGGGTATTGAGTCGTAGGATCATCATAAACGTACCAGAAGGCGAACCCCTGAAATGTGAGGACCTTCCGAACTACACCCGAATGCTGAGGTATGCGTACTTGCTCATGCTTAGGATCCGTTCCATCAGGAGGGTTCTTGAGATCAAGGGTGAAGGTAGCCTCGAAATTATCAGTGCGCAAGGGGGACCTGTGTCACAGTGTGCCAAGGAGCATATCAACATAGCCGTACTTATGCCAGAGAGCAGCAAATCTATCCGCCGTTCTTGGTGTCAGCAGAATATGATCATTCTCGAGGACGCATGTGCCCATGGCATTCCAACGCTTGTTGAAAACTCGTCGGTCCAAAGCCTAGCAGAACCCACAATGCGACCATAAGCAGAGCTAGTCGCAGTCCTACTTGAGTGAAGGAGTGGGACTCAAGCTGGACCTGCCCTGAGACAACTTCTACCAGAAGTAGTAGTAGAAGCAGAGGAGCAGCAGAGAGCTGCTGCAAGCTGATCATACGAACAACAAGAAAATAAACTAAAACTAACCTCAGCTAAAACAACATTGAAAGTACTATAAACTCGGTAGCCGGTACGTCAAGAGCATCCTTACATTCTCCATGTTGCCGCTGGGAGAAGAAAAATTGTACCATAAGGCCCTACTGTGACTGCTGCCAACAAAAATTCCAGAATATGCGTTTCCATGCAATAGGATACTACTAAGCCTCATGAGCCCAGAAGATGTCTCAGGACTCCCTCGAGGGTCTGCTGAAGCTCCTGCGTGGTCCACGACAGAGTACCACAGTGGTCGTCGAATGAGAGCTTCTCAACTAGTGATAATACCATTCCTTCGACGATTCTCAATCGAAGTACAACAAGCTCACGAGCTCCTCACCAACAGCTTCGATCTGCCCATCAGCAACATACCTCTCTGTCGCATTGGTATCCTCCGACTCTAACAAAGGCCGGGCGTGATCCTCGGAACTCAGCCCTATCAAGGCCTCAACGACGACCGCTGTAGTGCGATAACTAATCTCTGGAATAAGCCTTGCGCATTTGCCTCCTGTCTCGAAGGCAAAGCCAAGTGCCTCCCAGCTATAGCCCAGCTGACCAAGGACCCAGTAAATTCCACATTACCCTTCGGAAAAGTAATAATGGCCTCCTCTGCACAATGCAAGTGGTGGATAGAAAACCTCTCGAGACGCTTTTTTCAACCGCCGACCAAAGCACTAATACTCTCCCATAGAGAGCTAGAGTCAAGTCCCATCCTCGTTTTGAGCTCAGGCAAATGGTTTCCTGTCCATGCATGCAGTCAGATAGAAGCTTTTCACTGCACTGCCTCGGGCAACTCATCATTCATCCTCTCGTGCCATCACCTACCACCAAATGCAAGGCGCGAGCGACATTACTGTCACTGTTGGCGACTGACGACTGAGCGTGGTGGCATCCTTGCGAAAAAAAACTGCGCGAAAAATATCGTCATCACTGCCTAACACAACACCCTATATCGTGGATAGGCCTTTAGCGAACTGAAAGGCGAAAAGTTGAGGTGTCGAAAAAGAAACAGATTCAATACATTTTTGCAGAGCTCAAGATCTTGACTGCGCCTACTGTTGTTAAAGCTACGCCACCCACAGACACACTCCTCCTCCTCCCTGTCGTTGACAGCTGCTAGGAGGCAAAATGAATGTACGAGACAGATAGCTTGTCGTGATAGCAGTAGTAGTGATGGTGATGATGACGATGACGTTGAAATCCTCGATACTAGTATCAGCTAATGATAGCGACGCTGATGCTGCTGATGCTGTTGCGGACCTCTGTGCTTCCCTTGCTTCATGTGAGGCAACGACTCGTAGTTTGTAAGGTCGATTGGGAGAACTCCCGACTGAAATAAAGGCACCCTCACAGAGAAGATCCCAAATAACGACTCTGAGCACGGATACTAGAATAAGGAAGACGTTTAAATGTCTACGAGTCTAATCATCCTGCTACTATGAGCTTGATACCTACCTCCATGCCGTTGTTCCACGATACAGCCATTGTTCCTGCCGCTGGGTTCACACTGTCGAGCTGTAAAATTGTCCCGACCGGAGGAGCTCCTGGTCTCATGGACGCTGCCACTACCATCTAAAATGCCACATAACAACAACTGACTCGCCTGACCTATGGTGAACCTACTAGTTCCTGACCACCACGACCCTTCTGCTGCTGCTGTTGCTGGCCTCCTCTGGTGGTGACAGGGAGCATTCTACCTCGCTGGGCTTCAAGCTTAGCCGCCAGCTCACTCATAGCTGAGCGTGGCCGTCTGTTGCAAGATATAGAGACTACTTTCTAACACGACAAGTCACTTACCCTCCCTGAGCTGCCACGTTCGTTGCCTGTTGTTGAGGTTGGGCTTGCTGAGACCTAGGACTGTTGAAAACACTGGTAGGCACCCATCCAGGCTTCTGCTGCTGCTGGGGCTGCTGCTGCTGCTGCCCAGGTCTAAAGAATAACACTCAGATACTCTTCCACCACGAGAACGTACGTGTGAAGATTCAAGGCCCAAGCCCAGAGTCCATCTGCTGACACTGACTTTACCACCATCACATCTCCAGTATCAACACGTAGCTGGTTCGGATCAGTAGGATGCCAGAAGCATCGTGCCACGTGCCTACCCAACATAGTGTCAACAATCAGCTACCATCACCCTTCTTCCTACTGCGTGTTAGGCGCCAATTGAGCGCCTCCACTAACTGCTCCCTGCTGCTGCTGGTCTTGCTTCTGTGCCCCCTGTACTGGTTGCTGCTGCTGTTCAAGCCTAGCCGCCGCCTTGGGAGCAGCTGCGGCCCCTTGAATACCACTAGCTTTACCAGCCACATTGGACGCTGCTGCTCCTGCTGCTGCTGCTGCTGCTGGAGAGCTCTTGGGTACTGCCATGGTACTCATATGTGCTATCATAGACGCAATCGAGGTCACTGTTCGGCAGCGTACCGGATACCTCAGGAAAGTACATAACCATACCACTCCTTTTCGAAATCTCGAATCCTACATAAAAGGTTCGTTACGAGCAATGATCTGATTCGCGCGCTGCTGAGAGGCCGCGTCAGCTCCTGTCTGCAGCATGAGAACATCGACTTTCCTCATACTACCAATCTGAAGATCGCACACGCATCACCACTGAAACAAGCATACAAGCTGTATCACCAAAGCCGCCGAGACACCTCTTAGCAGTGACTCGCAGAATAGGACACCAACGAGCGCATCGCCATTCTCTGCCGCTGCCTTAGCCTTAGTTCGCTCAATAGCGCTTACGAACTGGTCCGAGGTAGCCATAGATTCAGGAGGCACACCAGGACTGCAGAGAGAAAGCCCTCATAGCATTCGGGCATCACAGCTATCCTACCCAAGGTCTCTCTCATCGGCCTTGATCGGGACCAACTGCCACTGGTTGAGGACCTAACAGCGGCAGACAGTGTCACCAATCACCACGCACATTCCTCATACTCTGCCGATTTCTTCAGTGGACATCTGGTCCTCAGCATTCGCACACGTGACCAGATTCTTCAGAGCAACGAGATCCGATATTAAAAACATCTTAGGCGAGGCGTTATCGGGGGAAGACTGCTTCGTTGATGATGCTGCCGCTGCTGCTGGTGCATCGGTTCTCGACGTTTGCGGTTTCGGAATTTCAGGTGCCGGAGCAGGGGTTCGAACCTGGCATCATCATAACGTGAAACGGATACTCCTTTCCCCCCACCTGTGGTGCCTTGGCAGCTGGAGCTTGCATCATTACCGATGCCTTTGGTGCTATAGGCTTGGGCGTTGGCGTCATACCAGCTGGTTTAAATTCAGGAGCATCAGCCCGCATATGGTAAGTGCCTATCATAAGCTTCTTGACGAGGATCTTCTGCCCCTCAAGCTTTTTACTCTGCTGCTGGCCATCCCGAGGTGATGGAGTAGCCGTTGATCCTCCCTGCTTCTTCTGCATAATCTCATAGGACACCAATCGAGGCTTGAGGTCGAACATTGTCTCTACTTCACCCTTGCTCACGAGCTCGTCGATGATGGCGGATTCTGCCAGACCAAGACCTCCCGCATAAGCGCCTACCCGACGTGGACTGTACCTCGCTCAGCTTTCTCAGTAGCAGCCCTATTGCGTTCTATCATCTCCTGTAGTGATAGTTGAATCGGTCGGCCACCACGGACCAGCTCTGTGCCTTCCGGGCATCCAAAGACGTGAAGTCCCTGAGCCCAACAACAGTGCCGCTTGACATGGGAGACTGCCGACCTACCATAGGAGCTCGACTCTGATGGGGTAACATATTATCAACGAAACCCTGGGTCTTGGCATCAGAGACGTCACCGACTTTCAGAAGGAATCGGCCTGAAATGATGGACCAGAACTGAACATGCGAGCACTCATGCCGACAAGACTACTACCAGTGAGAGGCTTCCCTTGGAAGATCTTGCGGAACATGTGAGCCAGCCCTTCTGATAGAAAATTGATGAAGACGTAGCCTGGATGAAAAACACGATGATGATGCTGTAGAGAGAGAGGGCAGTGCCTTTGGTTTTGATGTCCGGTTGGGATGAAGGAGTCCTCTCGTGCGGCATAAAGAGGAAGTCATATGCACCTGAGGGACGATGAAAATCGACTATGTCGCTATAAGTAGCATGGACTCACCTTTGAAGCCCTCTTGATTGATGATAGCTATGAGGTCCAATGAGCCCAAATCATTGGGAACATTCCGTAGCATAACGGTAGTACGTCTAGGAGCTGACGCTGATGAACACAAGCATGCGAGTCAATGAGCCTGATCGTCCACGACCTACGTGCTGTTGTAGGTGTAGCCAATAGCTGTCCTCCGGTCAGTCTCATCTCACCGCCTAGTTGTGAGCCCTTCGTAGTGCCTATCATAAGCAGTAGTGTCGTCAGGTGTAGAGCGAGGAAGAGTACTACCACCGAACATCCTGAACAAAGCATCGGTGCCTCCTGCGTTCGTCGAGTCCATTTGTGAGCCTGTTGCCGTAGTGGCAGAGGCCGATGTAGGTCTTAAGACGTTCTCGAGCGGGTTGGACATGGCAGCAGTCAACAAAACTAATAATAGTAGTAGGAACTAATCCGTACTGCGCCGAGCGATGTAGCTCGAGCGAAGTGCGCGCGGTTCCGAACGATGTAACCCGTGCAAAAACGTTTGTTCTGAAGAGACTCCCCCAGGCGAATTCTTCTCGGTCAGCGGTCGCTCCGAGTGCCTCGCTATGCTGATTCGGCCGTCCTCAAGCGTTTCTTCCTGCAGTAGTCTCTCAAGATGATTGTTTCTGCCTCTCCCCTACAGCTCATGATCTTCCCCCTTAGGCGATCCTATTTCCTCCCAATTCAACATGACTCTCGGTCCTTACAACATCAGCGATATCATCCGTAACCCGTTCCTTATTCTGGTCATCTTGGGCTGTAGTCTGATCCTCATTCTGCTCAGCAAGATGGCCTTGACAGCCCCCCCTGGCCATTACTGGCGAGGAGCCATCATCCCTCAGTTCTTAGGTTGCCTCGACTGCCTAGTACTGTGGTATGTCTTCAGCGGCTCAGACGCCTTCGTGCCCATCGTTTTCGCCGTCCCTGCAAGTGGTCCCATATTTGGCGCTCTATGGGTATGGTGGGACAAGAGGCGTGAGGCCGCTAAAGCCCAGGCTCTGAGGGAAGCTGCTGCTGAGGTTGTTGAGAAAGTTGCCGACGCCTCACCTGTTGCTTCCACTAACTTCGACAGTAACCTGGCCACAATGGAAATCGGTCGCTCCCCTGGCTACCTCGAACCAGCAGTAAACTCTATGATAACCCCAAATGGACGTGAAGGACTTGTGCAAACTGCGCAGCCTCCCTCGTCCTCCTCCCCTACTGCTGTTATCCTCATGCCGAGACTGTCTCTTGGTAGGAGCTTTGAACTTGAAGTTGACGACTTAGAAAGCGGATATGCTACTCCTCGAGATTACAGGGTGAGTCAGCGCTGAACTTTACCTTCTGGACTGATTTATGTAACAGCATCGTCCATGTCAGATACGCACCTTCCCTCCCTTCCTCCCCATCGAAGTGAGGGCTTTTGCCGCTACCGCATGCGGTTAGATGCTTTCAAGGTCGTCGTCGTTGGTTGATTATAGTCTACAGACTTCGTCAAAAAGTCAAGTCTGATAATCGTGTTGTTCAGTACTGGCGTCCATGCCGTTCTTTTTTCTCTATTCATACAAGGCCAGCAAAGGGTGACCACTTTACAGTATTGCCAGCACTGTGGCGCGGTTTCGAGCCGACAGTCTAGCCTTGGTCATCCCTTTTGCCCTACACAGCAGCTGCGCCCCCTTCTACACAGTTCATATTATCGTTTGGCCGCAAACCCTCCGCTCTTTCTAGACCTTTGGTATACAATACTGAGGTCCTCTGCCAGTATGCTCGTCCGCATGTTGTTATTGCTGCTGACCATGTCGTTGGTGTCATTTGTTTCTGTGGTGTTCTAGTAAATCACAACACGGGTTGGTCTTACACTTCTCCACCTTTATGTCGGAGCTCCAACCTGATCCGAATATCTGCTTCTCGGCAGCTATCGATTCGGCCCTACAAGGAGCCCTACAGGACTCGTTGAAGCACTTGGAGCCTCTGACCCCAGCCCTTGATATGGACACCCTCAGGCGGATACTGGACGTCTACTATCATTGTCATACTGCGGTAAGCTTAGGAGAAAGTAGTGGACAGCAGTTGTTCGTTATCAGAGTCGAGACGCTGTCCGAAAGACTGAGTTCATTCGACATCTTCACGCCAAGCCGTCGCTATCTAAGGCCTTACACATGAACCCGATGATGCGAGGAACCTCGGATGGCGATTCGGAACCGTGGGCGTAGTAATGGTATCGGCTCCCATCTGCTAAATAGGGGGAGGTTTACCATGTTCTCTTGTAGTATTGCACTGCATTACCACAGTTTACGGTTGAATAAGCCTTGGATGTTGAAATAGTAGTTGAACACTTCAGCTTGCCGCGCGTCGCTGTCGAGGTTTCGATGAGGGATTTTGTATAAGGTACATAATGCCCGAGCTGGCTGCCATCCTAGGTGATGTCATTACTTGGGCTGATGTCCTCAAGGCTGTTCATCATCGGGTCTCAAAACCACGTGCTACCATTGGGGACAGCTCGGGTACTCCCATAGGCCCCATTTCTCGCAGTATTGATCTGTAGGGGCTCACCAGCGGATTGAGTCGCCCCCTCCTGCTGCCGCTTATGTTGCCGAAGAATACAGGTCTCCGGGACCCTCAAGGGAAGATGATAGCCCCTCGGCTGTTCATAGGCCGAGTAGCTCGCCTCGTATCGGCAGTTATAGAGGGTCAATGGACGCAGGCTCAGCATACTCGGACTCAGTGTCTGCTGTTCATCCCTTCTTACGGGACACTATAGAGCCGGCAGTTGCGAGTGCCTTTGCAGCGGCAACCAGTGCATCGTTGCTAAGTCGCCAGGTACAGAAACACTGTTGCGGCGTGAGCTGTGAGGGAACCTCTTAGGGCATGAGAGAGGAGGACTATGTACCGCCTATCGACATGCCACCACGCCATTTCGCGACCCCCAGTAGTGGAGATGTGCCCGCACGTGAAGCCACAGGAGGAAAGAACGTCTATGAGCTTCTCTTGGAGGAGACTAAGGAAGAGGTCTCGAGGGGAAGGAGCCCCACGGTGGTCTCTGAGAGGGCGTCGACTATTCGAGCTCGGAAAATACGAGCTTCTCATTTGAGACCTCATTCGGCGACTAGCACTACGAGGACGACAGTGCCAGTGGGACCATCGTTGCTACAACGAGAAGCAGTCAAGTCACATACTAAGTTGCTTGCTAGTCTCAAGAACAACGAGGAGGAGTCTCCAGCAAAGAGCTCGAGGAGGTCAGTGAACAACGCACTGATTTGGTTAATCGATCGCCCTTTCAGCGCATCGTTCAAAGCTAGGAAGCTTCCGAGGGAATGGACAGTTGCCGCTGGAGGGGCTCCGGGTACCTACGCGCCGATAGTGGTGGGGAGCCACCAGGTAGTAGTCTATGCCGCTGTCATGCAAGTGATTGGATGATCTCAGACGCACGTAGCCGAACAGGAGGTTCGTCATCGGTTGGGGAACACTGTGACGAGGCCTAGGAGACCTGATACTACTCTGGCTGCTTCGATGTCAGTAAGCTTCGATAGGAGCATTAGGAGATCTCTATTGGAAAGGAAGAAGGATCCCCCGAAGTAATCCATCGCGTAGCCTCAAGGGCTACGGGTCCGTTCAGGCCGTTTAGCGCTCGCCCAGTGCCCTGGGTGGTCTCAGCACCACTGTACAAGTCTATGATGTCGAGCAAGGCACGACTCAGGTCTCAGAGGCGAGCAGAGCGAGAGGTGAGGATGGTGGGTACCCAGCGGGAATTGGTCGTGGCTAGGCGTTGGTGAACCGTACAGCCTCACTGCCTCCTCGAATGCAAAGTAGGAAGGACTGTACTAGTGGAGGAGATGTATGTGAGCCGAGGAATGTGTAAGGGAAGTAGACTCTTCGTGTGCGTGCATCAGTGGCAATGGATCAGACTATTCAGCTCGAGGACTGTAGCCGGCAGTGTGGGTAGCCAGACTCGTACAGTGCTCCACAAGGCTCTGAAGAGCAGCAATAGCGACAGCGAAAAACGGCCGCGTAGTTCTACTCCTGAGTACTTCACCTTTTATCCCCAAGTTGGGCGCTCCGTGCCGAACTTCAAAGCTCTGCACAGAAAGGAACAAGAGAGGCTCCGCCGGAGGAAGGAGGTGGTAACAGCATTCGAGTTTTGCATAGTCTTGCTTTTCAGGAGAGGCCTGGCAGAGTTACCAGGCCGGAACCCTTTTCATTCACGATAAGTAGGGACGAGGAGAAAGCTCATAGGGGTAAGGAGGAACTGGGAGAGCCCCAAAAACCTACACGGAAAAGGTGCTAGAGTTATTCGAAGTCGTTAGTGATTCTTGAAAAGCAGAGTGGTGGGCCCACCTAGCTTTGTGGAGCGGGACAGGATAAGGGACATGGAACGACGAGAAAAGCTGATGGCCGAGAGGCAAGCTGAAGAGGCTGCTGAAGCTGGGCGAATGGATAGACCGAAATCTCCTCTACATGTGAGTGTGAGGGGAGGTTGAGGATGATGAGCTCATGAATTGCTCAGAAAAGGGTGCATCATGCGGTGGGCCCTCAAGGGCAGCCAGTGGGGTCCGAGGAGCTCGCCCGGCGTAAACGAGAGCAAGCTCGGTAGTATTGGAGAAGGTGGTATTTGGACGCTATTGGGAGGCGCTTAGTGCGGCGAAGGAATGGAGGGAGGAAGTGAAACGAATGCTAGAACGTGTAAGTCGCCAACCCCTTCTCATGGAGCGGGTAACCCTGGACGCTTCTAAGGAGAGAGCAAGGCAGAAAGCTCTTGTGAAGTAGTAGTAGTAGGGTGGAAGCAGTCTGGGAATGTATATTGGGTTTCCTCACCCGAGCTCGTAAGTTTCCTCACTACATTATGGGAATCCACACACGATTTTGGATATATGTGTACGAAAACGAACAATTTTTCTCCAAAATTTTGAGGAAACTTTCCATACTTTAACCAGCACATGTAGTTGACCACACTGGGTGAAAGGTCTTGGAGGGTTTGACGAGAAATGGGGTTCAGGATTAAGAAGGAACTGATTGCCAAGAAGGTTAGTAACTGGCAGAGCTACTTCCAAAAGGAGGAGCTCAATATTCTGGAAATGGCTGAGCTCCAGGAGATACTCGGCAGAGGCAAGGAAGAGGAGGAGGAGGACGATTATGTTAGCGACGATACTGAGATTATGGAGGAAGCATCACAGGAAAGGCCCCTAGCACAAGGTAAAGGGCGCTGTTGCTGACTTGCAGTACTGCCGGTTAATTTATACGGTGTTTAGAGGTGCCCATGGACGAGGCCAGGGAAATCCAAAGGGAAGACCCCTCTAGTGTAGAGAAGGAAGTAGAAGCCCCTGGGGCGGTCAGCGACGGTGGGGCTCGGGCTGCTCAAGAAGGGGATGCTCCTGAAGGGTCGGACATTTGGCTCTTCTGAGGGAGACTAGCATATATTGAAATTGACTGTACTGAATTCATTGGGATCATGTCTCACTACTGGCTCGGGCAAAAGGTGTTGAGTTATAGAGGTATGGGGTCTCCTTTCTCTGGGTAGGCGGCAAAAGACTTACTATTGGTAAGTCTGGTAAAATCGGTCTGGTTCTAATTTGAAGTTGGTCCAATTTTATGCCTCCTTGTGGTCTCGACGGTGATTCTAGCAGCGTGTCATGGACGGAGGATGATATCAATAACCTCGCTCTGGCACACGTTTACAAGGATAACGATCGGCCGATCACTTCTCTGAGCTTTTCGGCTTCTGGTAGGAAATTATAGATTCGGCCCACTACTGTTACCACAACCTCCAGGTCGTTACTTGGCAACATGTTCGTCGGACCAAACGGTACGGATTTATGATACGGACACGCTGAACCATGTAAGCTTCTGGGGTCTTGGCTTTCCGAGAGAGGGGGGGGGCAACGGGCGGCCTCGTATTATCATAGTTTGGTTTTATGCCATTTTTGATGGTTTCAGTCGGTGCGGATCCTTCATTCCCACAAGTACGGCGTCCGGCATGTTAAGTTTATGCACTCGTATAAGTGGGAGACAGGTATAGCCTGTGGGGACGTCAATTGGGACTGTAAGCCGTGCAATGACGTGTCACTGTCATAGTCCCCTCTGTAGGCTCTGTAAGGCTGTGGGACTTCACTGAGAATAAATTCACGCGAGTTTTCAAAGGTCGGAAATCTCCGGTTCACACTCTAGACGTGCACCCTAGTACCGACCTGGTAAGGACGATCAACCTCTACTGTATTGCTTCAGCCTGAGGTCACATAGGCTATATTCACCACAGTCGATGGCCACCTCTACCTCTGGGATACACGTATGCCGGAAGCAATGAAAGACAGCGCAGTGAGACTACTCCCCAAGATTAATTTGAGTATCATATTTCCTGCACAGAGGCTCACCAGCGTCCCCGGTGAACTTCCTAATGATGGAGGTCACCACTCTGCAGCTAGTGTAGCATTCGATCCGAGTTCTCCCGGCTCAGTCGTGTTCGCCGCTGCCAGTGCGCTCGGCAATGGCGTTGTAATTACTCGTACTGCAACATTTTTCATATTGCAATTCAAGGTTCACTTGTACGACCTACGAACGTTTACCCCATTCATGTCCCTTACTGCGGGAAGTGAACATAACGCTGGGCGAACAGAAGTTCTCTATCCCACGGTGAGCCGATTCGCGCCGTATAGCGGTATTAGTCGTATCAGGAGCTCACCTACGCTCCGGACGGGAAGCACGTTTTAGTGACAACAGTGTCGGGCGGAGCGGAGATGGAGCTCACAGCAGTCGATACCTTTACAGGAAGGCCCACGGTGAGTTTCCTAGGCCTGACTTCAGGATCGGTCGCATTGCTGTCAGGTAACGGCTTTTGTATGTAACGTGAAACAGCCTCCTGGAATGCACTCTAGAGATCGCGATAGCAATCTCTACATGCCGCCCGACAATCTCGGCCACGCCCTCGCTAGTTCTGCCCGACACGTGAGTTCATGACCCGCTTCTCCCCCAATGAGTTTTCAAAGCAGATACCATCAGAGCGGTGTCAAGTGTTCGTGCCAACGCTCAAGCCCAGCTACAGTCCCTGCGGAAAGTATGTTGTTTTCGGCGAGCCCTTCATGAAGCGGTTTCGACCAGGCGAGAAGAATGAGGTTCGGTAAGGAAAGACTTCAAAACTACTATGGTGTACGACTGAGGTCTCGAGCAGGTTTCTTGACATGACCAAGGGTGAGAACTCTACCGTACTTGAGCGGGTCCTATTAGGCCAAGCAGCGCCCCCAATTGCCGCCTTCTCTCCCAGGTTGGTCCACTTGCTGCTGAGACGCGAGCCCAGTTGTCGTATCGTTAGGTCGCGTATGGTTGTCACTGCTAGCGCTGCTATGGGTTGGTGGGCAGTGAAACCCCTCTCTGAGAGGACCCCATCAGAGGAAGCTCCCAGGAATGGAGAGGCCCGTCCTAGCCCTGAGTCCGTAGATGTAGAAATGACAGAGATACGAAATAGTGCTGATAACATTGGTATACAGTGATTGTAATATTTTCTTCATAAACCCTGTTACTGCGTTACGAATCTAATATCATCATACCCAACTGGAAAACACAAACCCTTGGTAAATACGATATTCCGTGTCGATAGGAGGTATGTACAACATACCGTTTGTATACACCATGAAATCCGCTCTACTTTTTATATAACCCACTTCACTCGTAGCATAACAGAGGAGCGACTGTCACCTTAGCCAGCGACGTCCCCAAATCTGACTCTGTCTACTTCAAAGAGTTCACATGCGTCTCAGTAACTCGCGTTATACGACATCTGAACTCACCACGATCATGTGTACGCGTCACACCCTACAGATTTACCGCACTTAATACACCACAAGGGATGTGACAACCCACTAGAGAAACTCTGACTACAACAGGAAGTCACTTTTTCGCCTTCTTTGCTTTTCCGTGTTTATTAGCCCGCGCTACAGCTTCCGGATTGGCAACCATCCATTCCTCGACCTCACCCTGGAGCCAAGCCTTGTACTCCTCCTCATCGTCAACCACCATACTGCAGTTGCTCAGCAACCTATCGACTTGCCTGTCAAGGAGGACACTGAGGCCTTCCCCTCGGGGCATACCGAAGTCGTTCACTAATGATGTGCCATTGATAGGAGCTCTCCAGTTCCAACACCCGATGAGGCCGCTCAGCAACACTCTCTGTCGGCAGTCGACGTACCGCTGCCTCTCATGAGCAGCCGCCAGACACTCTGCAAGACACAGAGCGACCACCCAGTCCTCCTTGAGGTAACGCATGCAATGCCCTATGAATACAGGGTTTGCCAACTCCTCCTGCGAGGCCCTCGACAGTTTCCATGCCACTTCGCTGATAGCCGAGGCCCTCTCCGAATCCGCGTTGGGCAGTTTGAGCCCGTGTCGCAGCACACCATAGCAAGCACACCGTGCTGGTTTGCTCGGCCTCTCTCTAACATGCAGGCCGTAGACACCCGAGGTCAGAACAGCAAGGGTAAGAGCATAATGCTGATCATCTGAGAGGGTGTGATGTGGCTCGACTTCACGAACATTCTGGACGAGAGCACGGACGATAGAGCCCTGGTCCTTAGGGACAGCATCAGGCTCCTCGAATTTAGCAGAGTCGCCGACTGTTGTAAGGACGTTGATGATACCGAGGGAGGCAAGCATATCCAAGGAACTGATTCACAGATGGAAGATAAGGTGAGTGACAGAGTTATTACTCTAAACTGGTAAGACGACGAATGAGCATTTTGTGAATCTCCACACCCCATCGCTCCCTAGACACTTTAACGAGTAAAAGGCCGTATATATTGGGGTCCGACGCGGCCTGAGACCACCACATTATGCATACTGATGATGGTGACGTTCACCTTCATTATTTCATCGTCTAATTTGAACCCAAGTCTCGTGGAGAACCTCACGGCTCGGAGGATCCGCAAGGGGTCGTCCTGGAAAGTGATGGTGGGCTCCAGGGGTGTTCGGATAACACCAGCCTGAGAGAAAAGGAAACTCCATCACTTTCCCAACATGGAGTTTTCTACTCGGAGATCGGCAAGGCCCGTGCCTGTGAAATCCTCAACGCTGGCTGTGCGCAAGTTGTAGAACAACGCGTTAATGGTGAAGTCCCGTCGACTGGCATCTTCCTGTGGGGTTCCAAGCGCCACCACTGGTATACGCGAGTCCTGACGGTGAAGGCTCGAAAATGGACTGCTTATCGCAACGCGCAGAAGAAAATAAGACGACAGTAGGAGGGAATGAGCGCACATGCAGTTACGTGTATTGGTGAGTTACCAGTGGTAGCAGAAATTCTGCTATGAATACGGAAATTTCGAAAAAAAAATTGGAAAATCCTTGAAGCCAACACCAGCGAGATTTCCGATTCACCCCGGAACTATACACGTTCCTTCTCCCTTACCAGTGTGTATGTTTCCGTACGTAGATTGTTGACATCAAGGCTGATATCGAATACCCTCAGAGTAGCCGTCTCGAGATGTTTGCTCTGGTCAGGATTAGCACGGACCACCCCAACTGAGCTGCAAGATGCACCCGGCGAGGTCCTCGTGAGGAAGTCCTTCACTTTGTACGCAAAGGCCTCCCCTAAAGCGAGTTCATCAAGAGCACACTGTAGTCGCTATGGAGCCCCCACCTGACATGTCGTCAACAGCGATATCAATATCATCGCTTTCTTTTCCCAACAGCTTATCCCTAACCCAGCCGCCTGCGGCCCTTGGGACTGTATCTGACCCAAGAACGATGCTGAGGGAAGAGGTAGACCGCTGAGCTACTGAGATGGAAGTGGTGAATGGTGTCCATGATAACTTTGAAGATCGCCGTTTCCTTCTCTGTGAGTACTATCGTCGGCTCCTGCAACAATAGCTTGCTCGTCCCTATAGAGTTCGTCATGGTTCTTGATTGCTGTGCTGAAGGCGATATAGATAACGAGGGACGTGAATAAGGGCTTAGTCGATGAGGAGAACGACTACCAAGTACAACGCGTCGTGAGGTAGTTGTTGCCGCACTTCGCATACAACAACCCCTGCTACATGGAAGTCACCAACGAGCCAGAAAACTCAACCCAGAACTGAAGACGTAGTGTGAAGGAACGTATAAGGCGGTCAGCCCATAAGCTCAAAGTCATCCAGCTCCTCGTTGAACTCCATAACGTTACGCTTGACCTAAGAAGAGAACGACAAAGTCGTCCTATACTAGTCGTCGTCATGACGTTACCTTAGAGCCCTGACTCCATTGCAGACAGTCTTCCATCTCCCTTGTGACGTGCATTGCCGGATCAGTAACAACATCAGGACCGATGGAAATATGGCCCTGCGCTATATATCGATTAGCTTGTGAAACCTGAAAATTGCCATTCAATGGAAATGTTGTCGATTTTCCATCAAAACTTGCCTGCTCAGTGAAGTGGTTTCGAGTTACAACCACTGAAAGTCTCCTCCTAGCAAAGGATGAGGCCGAGAGCTCCACGCACTTGTCCAGTGATGATGCAGTAGCAATGACTCCCATAGTGTACCTACACCCCAGTCGCTTACATTAAGAGGAACAAACGACTTACAATTTGTCGAGGAGAACCTCAGTCATTTTGATACGCTCTTCATCGCTAGCAGGCAGCTTCCTCAACTGCGCTACTACTTTCGTCACCAAACCCGACAGTTTATTATACCTATACCACACTTCGGCCAACTCGTAACAGTCAAACCCTACCTAGTGTAGTCCTCTCTGTCCTGGATACCATACTTCCGGATAATCTTCGCCTCTCGGACGTTGTTGTCGTCCCGTTTCCACTGGTACAGGTTGACCTTCCGCAAAAGCTTCTGCTCATGGGGCTTCAATTGTCTCATCTCTACAGTGGTGACACCTACAACCAATACACCATTCAGTGTCACCACCAAACACAACACTAGCCTGTGTCACACAGCTAAAAGGACTTGAGGGCTCGCCGAAAGACAAGAACTCCCCGGAGTAAAACACAAGGAAGCATTTAGCCCCCTCGTAATAGTACATGAGATTATACAAGTATAGCAATTACAGGCAACGTATGTGGTAGAACACGACTCTAGAACAACAACGCGCCATCCAAGAGCTGCGCGAAAAGACTATGGCCAGCCTTCAAAAGGGATAAAACAGGGGCGAAATCAACCGCTGGTACAGAAACAGCAGGGATGTGTACGTAGTGACATAACCAGTTCTTCTCAATCTCACATGTCATCACAAGATTCTTTTTACGCCCCGACCCGGCCTCATCGATGACCAAGATACCACTCGCTCCCCTCAACTGAGCGTTCAAGGCCTTATCAGCAAAGGAACAATTGCCCGCCCTATGCACGACTACCATCACATTATCAGCCTCACTGTAATCGTCCTGGCCTGTTCGGTTGCAACCAAAGTCCGTACCATTCCCCGAAAACATCAGCCGGAAATCCCTACGTTGCGATTTTATCGGAGTCTCTCGCCAGTGAAGCCCTCCAGAGAACACTCGGTCACTCGCCTTACTATGATTGCGATAAGCCTTAGTGTCATCAGAACACCTCCCATGCCTCTTCAGAGCAGCCCTAAGAGACGGCCCCGAATGTATCATCCTAACAAGCCTCGTTCGCTTCGCTTCGCCCAAGTCCCATTGAAATTTTTCCATACCACTCCTTTGTCGAATCCTGCCACCAAATATCGCCGTTCCCACACTCAGATTGAACACAGGCTCTTCAGCCATCATCCCAGCGGCTCGAACCACAAGTCGTGCCTTGCCCCTAGGCATAGTTACTCCCGTTGGAATAGCCTCTCTAAGGGCCGTAGGAAGCTCTGGCCACACCGTCCACGCGCCGTGAGAGATCTGCCAATCCACCATGTCCGAGAATCTCAACACGGGCGAAGGCCCGATGGGACAGACCAGAGGCGTGGTACGCGTGCCTCGTTGCCCACGTGCATGGCCAGGCCTGTCCCTCGCCAATGGCACCAGATGGCTCAATGGTAGAACGTGGGCTTCCGTCGTGAAGACCCGGCCGATACTACCACTACCCAATCGATTAGCGACAACCTGAGGACCGGTCAACCCCATATACCTGCCAGTGAAGCAAGTTAAGCTAGGGAGGTCTTCATAAAGCGTTACAGGTAAGGTAGAGTTTCACTAAGGAAAAAGCTGTCCATACGGTCGTCGTTGCGATGGGCAAGAACGTCGGCTAAAGACGCGTACCCGCATACGGCCTGAGCGGAGGGGAACCAAGTCGTACTACAGACTCCCTGTATTATCATGATACTAGTCATGACACTTAGTAGCCTAAGTAATAGTATACATAGTATAATAGTATTATAATACTATGCATAAAATACTATACATAATACATAATCATAATATCATATGTATATGTAGGGAGAAGCGTATACCTGTAACAGGGATACACTTCTTATTCCCCGTTCCAAAAACTATTTCCAAACGGCTAGGATTAGATGCCCTTCAAGCTTAGAATTAACATACATACACAATGAACTCGAAGAGTAAAATCCCATCAAGAACATTCCATGACCATATAATACTAGGCTCCGGGTAACCTCAGTTCTCAGTACTAAAGCACAGTCTTTTGAATATGCACCAATCACAATAACGTGTCTCCCACAGACAATGCACGCATGGAAACCAATAGCATCACTATGTGAATATTTCCGAGCGAATTCCTCACCTTATTTCGTTTCTCCAAGTCGTTTGCCATCTTCTCCAACTTCCACTTATACGTCTCGTCCTCCACTCCGCCGCTGATAGCTGCACCCAGTTGAGAAAGAGTCTCCGCCAACTCTGGCCTGTTGATAAAATCCCCAATAAAAACTGCTTCGCTCCGCCGACATACTACCGCAAATTGAAGTCTCGACCATAGGCTATCAGAGCCACTCTTCGTTCCTTTATATCCGCAACCTCAGGCAAGCCGCCCATAGAGTCCCAAAGTCGAGACCACATCCGAGCGATGGACGTCGCGTACGCTGACGGCCCTTGTACGGCATTCACGACTGACAATTAGAAACTATCACGATCGATATTGGAATATATGTTTCGTCTCCTCAGCTGAGCTCAATAGTTTGCTCCCCGATATGAAAGTTCACACGCTACTTGAAATATGAGTAGAGGAAAACCCAACGAGAATTTCCCCATGTTTTTTTTCGAAATTGGCAAATCCGCTCACAGTGATGGACACCAATCGCTCCACGTACCTCCTCCCCAAAAACTCTGTAGTGGTGACACTTGTGTATGTGCTGGTGAATCAGTAGCTATATCGAATGTCAGCTGCCCGCCGGCTTGATAAGAACCTGTTCAACAAGAGCTCGAGTCGTTGATAACATCTAGGCTCTCGTACTAATGCCATCGAAATGCTCCATAAAACGCTCATACAGTTCCACGTCACCAAAGAGGACATAAGCCTTCAACAGATACCTAGCAACAGTCGATAGATGACCATATGATAGTACATACTCAAAGGAGAGGCGAAGGCGTTTGGTGGTGGGGGGGGGGCTCGACGTTTCAAGTCCTATTTATTTTGAATTGTTATTACACATATGATGGATGAGATCAATAAGACGATCGGTCGCTCGAATGCGGAGTTAGCGAGCTCAACCGCTCCTCCTCGAAATTCTCCAACATAAGTTCCGTTTCTCTTTTATCGTACTAGAATAGTACTATTATAAACTATTGAAATTTCATATGTAAATAGACTTATCCCTCTGGAGAATACATATAGTCCAACATAGGTGATACCATGAACAACGAATGTCGTCCATTTGATTACTCATAATAGGAGTCATGTCCAGGTCCGGCGCCTGATGAGAGACTGTCCATCCACAGCCCTGTTGATATCGAGATCGTGGTAGGCATGAGCGCCGCTGGGCCAAGCCTCATATACCTAACCAAGCATGAATCTAACAATATTGCGTGTGTATAGACCATACCATAAATGATCCAACGCCTTCCGAGCCGCCTCGTAGTACTTCCAATCGCCAGTAAGGAGACTTAAAGTGCCAAACTCTGCAAAAAACCAGTCTCCATCAAATCGGCCCAACTCCTCACCCATGATCCAACTGCCCGCTTCTGCTACAGAAATGCTCGTTGGTACTTCCTCATCATCAATATCGATACCCCTAACTAGATTCACTCGAGCCGCCGGGAGATCTGTTGATGTATCAAAAGCCTTGTAGAGCCTGAATAAGTAGCACGGTAAGCGAACAGGGACGTGATCGTCATCATTTCCACCTATCCCCCAAGTCGATGGCTTTCCGTAGTAGATCGTCCTGGTAACCGGAAGGTATACCCATTCGCTTGGCATGGAGATGACCAGATAGAAGCCCACCAAGAACTCGTATATTCATTTCAAAGGCCGAGACCACCTATCATCAAAGGTCTCAGGTTCTATCCCGGCATGGTGCATTTTTCCCACGTACCACATCGCGATCAAAAGTCACATTATGTGATATAAAATCGACAGCCTCTCCAAAGTCTTCGAGCCTATCGAATAGCACAAGTGAATCCAACGAGTCGATGTATCTAACAGAACGCATAACTACTCGTTATTAACAAGCAGTAATAAACATAAACATATAACAGCTCGTTATTAACAAGCAGTAATAAACATAAACATATAAAAACTCGTTATTAATAAGCAGTAATAAACATAAACATATAAAAACTCGTTATCAACAAGCAGTAATGAACATAAACATATAAAAACTCGTTATTAATAAGCAGTAATAAACATAAACATATAAAAACTCGTTATTAACAAGCAGTAATAAACATAAACATATAACAACTCGTTATTAACAAGCAGTAATGAACATACACGTATAACAAATCCCCCTCCCCCCTTTCTACGTCATAGAAACATTAGCAATGATAAAGTCGAGATCGCCTCTTTCTCGGGTAATTCGCCCATCACAAGAGAGCGGCCGGAGCTCATCATAAGGGAAGGCATATCTAACACATACAGATCGTTACTATTCAAGTCCGCCTAGTGCCTCCGTTATAACCTCATATAGTCTCCAAACGCGTGGGCATACATCTGTTCGATGAGATCCCTGAACAACGACACAGATAATCTATACCACTACAATTTCATCTCCTCACAAATCGCATGACGTGACCCTGTGTTCAGTTCAGAACATTATACTGATAGTATTCGAGTGAGAAAGGAAGTCACCCACTACTACGTTCCATCTAGACCACCTTTCCGTTCCGTCACCGGCTTCCCCACTACTACGCAGACTGCCAGGAGAAAATCATGCACATATGATAAAAATTTGAGGCTCATTCTATAGGAAATAGAAATACCACAACTCCCTCAACACAGATCTAGCTCCAGAAAAGTGCAATATCTGTTGATCTGCAAGGCACTATAATACTACACCCGGTCAAAACCTTATTCCTTCCCACTCAATGACGCTGACGATGGACGGTTCCTCGCGTTCTTTGGCAAAGGCTCGTCCGAGTTAGATGCTATATCGCTATTTTCCAGAGCACCAAGTTCGACGTCGCCTCGCCCTTCATTGGACTCTTGTGTTGGAACCAACTTAGCCGTGGGGGGCGGGCTCTCCGGGTATCGGCTATAAATCCACACGCCTGCAGTTACCTGAACAGCATTGCCTCGCCAAAGGTGATTTGGAAAAGGAGTGGTATTACCAATACTAGAGAAAGGAATACTCCCAAGTCGATCGGATATCCGAACACTATAAATGAGGTTATTGCTACCGTCCACACTTGAATTGCTGCTGCTATTGACTTTAGTATTGAATTCAGATGCTTTAGGAAGAAGCCTAAGGGACGCCCATCCTCCGGCCCATCCGTATCTACCCTTGCCCTACTACCCGTCATAACTCCCGTTATAGCGGCGTTGAAAATAATCGCCAAAATATTCCAAGAAAGTATTGGTTTGAGATTCTCGGATGAAAATGCAGTGATGAGGCCCCAACCTGAGCCTCTTAGCATCAACCCCAGAGCGTTACAAGCCATAGAGACTATATACCTGCGGAATGAGTTCTCTTAATGCTACGTCGATCTAGCTTACATGAACATATTCTGCACATTTGGGCTCGCTGTGTCCTGACCCTTTAGGAGTTTCTCATTGTAAACCCCGGCAAAACTAGAGAGCATCACGAGCAAGAGCACTAGGAGGTAATCCCATATAGAGTGACCACCTTCGAAACCATGCAAAAACACTTTGTACCTGACCACCATTTTGGCACTCAACTACGACAGCAGCATAATGCGATTACTCTTTCATCATGGCTCCTATGGTGATAATAAAAAGGGAAAACCATTGCATTTTACTAACGGGTTTGTCCAGTAATGTAACGCAGAGGACCGCGGTCACCACCAACTTGGCCTGTAGTAGAACATAGTATGTCGCTGGGTCAAAGGTAGACATCGACACGAATGTGAGGTTGTTGTAAATGGCATAGAGCCCAGCTGGGACCAGATAGAGGCCAGCTAGCTTCTTATGGACCGCCATTTGACGTACAAGATCACCGAGATTGCCCTCAGCACGGACGAATAAGAAAACAGTTATGAGCATCTTGCAGAAATCCTGCAGGAAAACAACAGTAGTGTAGTTGTATTCGATGCCTCTCTTGGCAGCTAGATGCACTAGAATGCTCTGAGAGGTCCATACGACGATGTAGCCTATGAACAAGCCGAACTTAAAGGGAGTATCAAGGCCAAGCAGCATATGGGAGTGGGTAACAAAATGGTAGCTGAGACCAACAAACCTCATCAAAGTGTCCACTCTCCGCGATGCCTTGCTATGGAGTTCCCGCATGAATTCCTCAAGGAACGGTATGAGCGAATAATACCGTACTCTCAAGAATTGATATTTGAGATTCGATCGTGGCCCACCGCCGGCGCCGCCGTAACGAGTATAGCACCATTGTGTGCAGGAGCATAGTGCGGAGCTAGAGTCCGTTAACATCACCCTCTGAGCGATATTGGTACCAATTCATAGTAGTCCATTTGTTAGGTTAATATTGGACAGTTACGGAGAACGTCTTCGGGTAGGACTGAGGTGATGGTCAATTTTCGAAAAGGTCACTAAAGTGACTATTTTGGACTCTTTTCCGGGCCAAAATCAGCCCAGATGCGATGAGCAAGAACATCACTGTGACTCGCGGTCGTGAAGTATTGACGAGATTGGACTATATTAGCATCAGCTGAGTTTTTAAGTGCACCGCTCTCAACAATATAAGTCGTACATATGACATCTCGCTACGCCATTGTAATCGATTTGAATTGAATGGTTTTGGTCGCGCCTTCCATGACATGTTGACACTGGCCGTGCGAGGAAGCCATCATGAGCATCTCCATGCCTCTATCTTCAACTGTTCGACAACTTGCGATCGTAGTAGTCCTTCTCTACTGTAGCCTTATTTTGTGCGGTATAGACAATGATAACGGCGTGCTTAGGTCCAGATGAAATCTCTGGTTCCCCCATAGACAACCGATGACACATATATCTTCTTATCTCGCGCATAGAGCTCACGCCGTTTTACATTGGCAGCCGTCACTCTGGCCTGCCCGGTTCCGCGCTTATCTTATAACAGTGTGAATTGCTCTCGTCTAAGTCGGCTCTTTGAGAGTCTCACTACTGAATTGCCTTATCAGTCTCCTCAGGCATGTAGCAACGCTCGAGTGAGATATCACCGTGATCACCCTCAGGATTGCTTTTTCCGTCCTCCTCTTGCTGTTGCTATCAGTACATGTCCTGCGACTCGGCCGCCACCCTACTCTCCTTGTTAGATGGTTTGACGTCTTCCAACGCTGACCTGAGGAGGTCTGCTGAAGGAACCTTAGCCGAACGAGAAACCCTACCTGGCTTTCAAACGACCCTTTGCCGCCTTGCCGTAGATCCATCTCAGTCTGTCCCAATGAGGCAGTTGTCGTTGACCATAGTCAAGCGTAACGTGAGAAGTCGTTGGAGCGAACTTACAGTGGACGAGCAGAACGAGGTTCGATCAGTGTTGGCTGAGGACCTCTTTGAGCCCAACAGTACGGTGCGAAAACTCGTGCACGCATGCGCAGCCCAGTGTGCCGCCCAGACCTCGTTGCAAGGGTGGGAGCCTGTCCTGGACAGAGTAGTGCAGACCATGCAGGACCCGACTGCTCAGGGAGAACGTCGGTCAATCTGCTTTGACATGCTACAGGTTTTCCAGGATGAGGCCGGTCCGGAGGTCGCTGGTCATCTGTTGCATCTGGAGGGCTCTCTGCGCGCCTTAGCGATGGATACTACCATTCCCCTTGTCGCTAGGTGGAAGGCTCTTGACCTATTTAGCACCTCAGCGGCCATTGTGGCCGAACAGGCTACTTCCAAAGCTCAGCGTAATGAGTTGGCAGTTGGAATGCTGAAGGGATGGCTTCCAGTAGTGGAGGGAATGGCCAGAAGTGGAGATGTTCTGGCAGTGCTGGCAGCAGTTCGGGCGGTCAGCAAGCTTCTGCAAAGACTGGGTTCAGCGATGAAGCCGATGCTCGAGGCCGTGATGGAGCCTGTTTGTGAGTTCATTCGTGGTGGACAGGTCCAGTACGTTAATTTGGTGGTCAATTCAGAGGAGGGTGGTATTGACGAGGAAGAGGACGGTGGTCCGACTACTCTGCTCGTCCAGTTTTGTGAATTGTTGTCCTCGGTGGTCTCAAAGGCGAAGCTCAGGTCTATCGTTAAAGGGAAGACTGCGGCAATCCTCGAGCTGTTGGCCCCTTACTGCCAAGTGACTGAGAGTCAGATGGCTGAGTGGTCCGACGACCCGGCTACGTTCCTGGCCAACGAGGATGACGATTTCGCAGCTCTAACTGTTCGCCTTTCCGCTGAGGGTATGGCAGCTGAGATGATTGAGTCGTTCAGTAGCGAAGCCTTCAAGGCCATCATTGACGTGGCTACTGGCTTGGTCACAGCCGGAGCCGCGTCTACGGCCAATCCCTACTCTTGGAAGAAAACTGAGGTTGGTCTGCTGATGACTGGCTGGGCGTGTGAGGCGATCAATCACCATGGGGAAAAGAAGAAACCCATTGGGCAAGTCGACAACCTCGTCAAGGTCGCTGCTGGGATCGTTGGTCAGGAGGATGCCCCGCCATTCTTGCGGCTGCGGGGACTTGCTCTACTGGCCAAGATATGTGAGTATATGAAGGCCAGTTTCACGGCTGACTGCTACACAATTTTACAGCATAGTCTCGAGGCGATGCAGGCTAAGAATCACATCTGTCTACGTCTCATCGCTACTCGGGCGTTTTGTCAATACCTGAAGATATGCGCTCCTCAGAGACCAGAAGAGTGCAATGCACTACTCCTAAGTGGCGGCGGTTTCCAATCCATAGGCAGCCTTATGAACTGGTCTGGTGAAGATCTGGCTGATGAGTCAATGCACTTGTGTATCGAGGCCCTCACTTCGATTACGCGGTACTCCCCTAAGAGCATCGTGGCTGTTGGTGACGACTTCCTAGGCCTCACTATGAGCCTCTGGGACCGGGCTGCCATGGACCCGTTGGTCCACTTGCAGGTTCTGGACCTGCTCTCGTGTGCCTGTGGAGTGGATAGGAGCCTTCTGGGCAAGGTGTCTTCTACTGTGACCCCTAAGATCCGCCAGTGTTTGTCGAATCCTGACGAATACGAAAGTCACACTGTTGGTAGCTCTATTGAATTGCTGTCCATCCTGCTGAAGCGGTCCTCAGTGCCTTACCCTGAGGATATGTGGTTGTGTGTGCAGCAGTTGCTGAGTCTCTGTCTGCACACCACTGACGCTCCTCTTATTCAGAACGCCTGTGATACATTGCTCTACGTCGTGCGGAGGGCCCCTATGGGCCAGCTGGAGCAGGCCAAGACTATGGTACTCTCTACTCTGGAGAGGCTTCTCGATGCTAACGAGTTGGATGACTCAGCTTCGATGTTCGCGGGCCCACTGATCACTGCTGTGGTCGAGCGTATGGGTTCTGCTCTCGGGCCACAGTTTATGCAGGCTATGCTACAGAGGCTCCTAGCGGCCAGAGCTCAGCATCTGGTGCAGTCCCTTCTGGTCGTCTTTGCTCGATTGGTCCATGCAAATCCGGTTGGTGTGGTTGACACCATGGCTGGCTTCAGCGTGCCTCTTGAGGGGAAGGCAGCTACTGGTTTAGAGGCTCTGATGGCTATGTGGTGTGTTACTGCTCCTAAGGTGGCGGCCCGAGACTCGAGGACGATCCTTCTCACGGCCCTTATCAAACTTATTGACAGTCGTGCACCTGCCCTGTTGGGTGTTAGGACCAGGACACCCCTCCCGGTGAGGCTGATCGAGGTCCTCACTGCTGGTCTGGAGTACGAGGTGAAGCGGGACAGACAGAGGTCTCATGTGAGGGGCGCCACTCTCCTCAACGATAATGGGCATATGGGCGGTAGTGATGATGACGAGGAGGACGAGGAGGAGATCAGTGAGGAAGACGCTTACAACGAGATCCTTGGCCAGCTGGAAGGCTATGCTGGTGATAGTGATTCGGAAGATGATATGGATGAGGAGGACGAGGAGATCCGTGATCCTCTACTGGAAGGGGTTGTACTGAAGATGGCCATATTGGAGGCCTTCCGAAGGTGGGAGGCTGAGAGTCACCCATGGTTCGCGGAGTGCCCGATTGAAGTGAAGGAGAGGCTGAGTAAGGCGATCCCTAAGGCGGTCCAACAGCTCAAGGAAAGTGGCGGCCAGGCCTAATGTGGTGGTCACTGAACTGTACTTATACATATGTACTCAATGGAAATCATAGACCTAGCATTACCTCGTGTACGTTTCTGGCTGTTGTCAATATCGTGTTTGAAAGCGATGGATGCTCACTGACTTGTTATCAGCAGTGGAGGGATGTTGGGAGTAGTTGTTTGTTCTGTCTGGTATGGCTCGGAAGCGAACTCTGGAGGATGTGATTGACCTCACGAGTACCACCCCTGACCGTTGCAGTCGGGCCTCCAGCCATGCAGAGGTTAGTGACATGGGAGCCTCCTCAGCAGTGGTGTGTCACAGGTCGTTAAGCACGTACGAATTGACAAGGTTGCAGTTGCAGAGAGTACTTTTCATAAGCTGATGCAGGCTGCCCAAAAACTACCCACATCGACTTCTAAGGAGACGAAGACCATGGCTGCTAGCAGGCCCCTGCCAGAGCCCAGGTTAGTACCTTCACGTTTATAGGAGAGAACGCTGGTGGCAGATGCAAGTACTGTGGCGAGCGCAGTGTGTCCCTCAATGACCCCTGGGTGCGGTCCTTCACCGACTGCAGTGCCTGTGGGGGCAGTGTGTGTAATATATGCTCTAATTTCCTCAGGGAGGTGCCCTTGAACAGTGGGTAGGAGGAAGAGGATGCATCGAAAGGCATCTTGGTCGGTCTCGTGGTTCAGGCTGGTGGTGTGTGCGGAATGCATTAGTACAATAGAGATGCCTCGAAGCTCAACTGGGGCCTCGTCGAGCAGTGGCAGTAGCAGCAGCAGTTCGTGTGGGGCCTGTTGTTGAGGAACATGCCGTTTCCCTTTTAGGGATCACTGTGGTCGTTATGTTCTCCGGAGGGGGGTGGAGTTGTCGTTACAGCGCTTCTTTTTAACTATGTCGTCCTCGCCAGGATCGGCAGTTACGCAATTGAACCTGCCTTCTTTCGAGATGGCCAAGGCCCTAGCCTTGGGGTCGGCCCTGATGGATGGTCTCGAGCAGGAGAAGGTAGACCATACCCCATGGCTCACGATGCTCGATCAGCAATTCATGGAGGGTAATCCTGTAGAAGGGGGCCAGTCAGATGAAGGGCTTGTCCCCCCAGTGGAGGGCACGGCGGACATACCAGCATCGGCCCCAGAGGAGCCAGAGTCCTTTCCATTGGCCGTGTGTCAGGCGAAGCGGAAGCCAGCGGAGTTGACATATGTAGAGAGGCTCGTGCCCAAGTCGATACGTCGGGCGGTGAAGCCTGACGACGTATCGGCTCGATGGACCTTCCTTGACAACCGCCTGTGCGTGGAGCTCACGAACAAGCTCTTCGGAGACGATAGGATCCTCTATGTGTCCGCGGATGTGGAGCCCCATCCTCAGCCCATGGGGATGGTAGGGCCTCGCAGCGTGGACTGTCTACCACTATTCGCTGAAGCCGACGAGCTCTTACTGCGATCAAAGGAACTGCGACTACTGCTCGCGATGGTGTGTCGGGAGAGCCCATGTCATCTGGGGGAAATAGTAATGACGCTGGGGGATGGGTCTGATAAGAAGACGGCTGATCGAGAGGAGAAAAAGAAGACTACTCCTAGGTCGAGGAAACGGCAAAGGTCTTTGCCCAGACGCTCAAGGGCTGACGACGACGACGAGGACGAGTGGGATCTTGACAGCGACACCTCAGAGTACTTAGATGAACCCCGAGGGGCTTCAGTGAATTCAAGAAGTCTTCCTAAGAGACTCTCCCGGAGGCCACCGAAGCGGCTGGGCATTGACGATGATACAGTCAGTGACTACACGTCTGACTTGGATCAAAGATCTGCGGTGAGGGGCACCAGTAGGGCTATTCCGATGAAAAATAACCATTCGGTCAAGCGAGATGGGAGGAAAGCGAGGACTTTCAAGCGCCGTAGTAAGCAGTCTGAAGTAGAAGATTCTGAGGCTGATGACATTACCGTGCCCGACGAGGTCGTCATGGCCGCGGCTCGGGCTAGGCGGATGCGGGCATCAGCGGACATCTGGCCCCCAGGTGTCCGGCCCGTGGGCACCAGACGACTCCTCTGCATGGTTCGGGGTGAGGTCGTGTATGGGCAGCGATGAGGAGACTATTGTGATTTTGAAATATTATTGAGATAACGGTTGGGTTATCATCTACCATTCCTCGTAGATTAATGATTACTATCTACCACGTGCTGAGTTGTTACCTTCTGAGTGCTCATGGTCATTTGGTAGCTATTGATTCACTTGAAATGACCGCTCTTTTCTTCGTCCTCTCCCTCGCCAGCATATCTCTGACCAGGGGATACTTTTGGCTCAAAGTCCCAGGTAGGCTCATGGGGCTACTTGCAGTACATCAGCCTTGTATCTCAGATGATATGATGCTTCGAATGCTACAGCACCGTCAAGGCGGGGCGTCCCAGGGCGAGCCGATCCCTTTGGACTCTCTGGAGCCCAAGCGTGAGTTCAGAGCCTTTTCTTGTCATGAGTAAGACCCTTGGTAGGTGCTCCTCCCCAGCCTATAGGCCCTCGTACGTGGGACGGCGATGATGATTTTTTCGACCAGCCGATGCGATCGGATATCTTTGATGAAATGGAAAGAGGATTTAGAATGCTACGAAGACCACGACCGATATTTGACGACAGTAGCCTCCTCGACTGCATTAGGGAGGGGTAGGGCCTTATGGTATTGCAGGAGGTGGTGACCCTTTTGGTCTCGACCGTATTGCTAGCGGTGGGCCAGCGAAGATCTCTGAGACGTCAAGCAGTGTTGAAAGCCATGAGACGTATGTCAATGATGGACAGCACAAGGTGAAGGGGGTTTTATAGTGCTCGGAGGTGCATCGTCGTTGTCAGCCTCGTCATACGGCTACTGTGGTTGGCAGTAGTCAGGCACTACATGGAGATGACCCTAAGCACCTCTCTGGAGATGCTGCTGCTGTTAAGTGCAAGAACGGTACGCCCTATGAGGGGGAGTCGATCAGCAGGGCGTTATTTCAGGCAAGTGCGTTACTGTCCATGCCATGCTAGAGCCTAAGTCCCGTGAAAGGGCTTTGGGTCAGAAGTAGGCACCCAAGGAGTAACCTTACTATGGTATGCATGTCAGTGTGACGAGTGGAACCTAAGTGTCGAGTTAAAGTATCTTACTCTTAATGGTTCATCTCTTAGTAGTGTTGTCCTGTCATCATGCTCGGTCGTCGTAGAGGCCCCACAGGTACAGCCAGAAGGTCTTCAGGGAACAACAACAGCGTACATTAGGCTAGCCGGAGCAATGGGGCACGGATGTGTGTGGCTATTTAGAATGCTCATAAGACCTGGAAGGAGACCATGTCTGAGTCGGAGGACTCTGATATTGGCGACTTGGCTTCTGCAGTGGCGGATGCCAGGAAGAGGGAAACCACAGTGAAGCGAGCCTCACAGTATGACGATGATACGAGGTCAGTCTTCAGACTCTAGGGCCACGGGGTAACGGTCAGTTTGGTTGTCAGTTCGGAGTCTAGTGACATGCGTATTATGAGCGATAGTGAGGACAAGCAGCCCAAGGGCGGTGAAACGGTGAAGTCAGCTAAGAAAAGAGGGGAGACACCTAAAACGGAAGTAAGCGGAGCGGTAGTAGTCTTGAGACTACTGATTTTTGAGAAATGTATTATTGTCAAATCTAGAGTCGTGGAAAGGGTCCGGGAAAGCTGAGAGAGACTAAGCGGAAAGATGGTAGCAGCGCGGCGCGTTCCAAGCCGAAGAGGCGCAAGAGGTGAGCAGTTTGGGGTGAGTGAATGCTGGCCGGTCGGGCTAGCGGAGCGAAGTTTTTTTACGTGATGGGAAATGATGAAGGTATGCGTGGATGGACTCGGATGAGAGTAGCATAACAGAGAGTAGTAATTCCTCTGACGAGAGCTCATCGTCCAGTGAGGACGATAAGAACAGAGGCGAGTATAATAGATCGGCTTCCTTGTCTCCTACTACTGCCGAGGTAAGCGCAGGTATCGTAATATCAGTGAGCTAATCATGTCAAATCACAAGCAGTGAAAATCGTGGAGTCCTTTCAATCAGTCATACTTCTCAGCGTCCGAAACTAACGGAGAAGGCCCTGGAGGAGGGAAGGAAGATTGCGGCTCGCATAAATATTGTCCGAAACCAAGACGAATTCTGGCAGGTAGTAGTAATGATCGGTCATTATCCTTCTTTTGACGCTTCGCCTCAGTTCGTCGATGAGCTGGACCCTAAGGTGCCCATGCACCAAGGAGGCTCCTTGCCCGGCTCTGCAATGGCCGCTGCTGTTCATCGGCTCACGGGCTTTGTTTACCAGTATTACCACACCCCACAGGAGATGCTCTCGCTGGTCAAGAGCCGTAGTTTGAGGAAGCTCACGGACATTGTCAAGACTGGCATAAAGCGGTGAGTTCTATTGAAGGCCTCCATCTAGGTCATGGGTCGCTCTCAGGTTTTCTCACATTTCGACCCAGATTTCTAATCTAGACTTAACTACTATCATCGTATCAGTGGCCAAGTTAGGTGTCCACTGTGATAAGCTCAGCAACGCCAACAACGCTATGGCAACGAGCTCACAGAAGCAAGGACTGTGAGTTGCCCAGGAGGCCCCCTCCCCCTGCGGAATGTATCCGATCAGATCGTCAAACGCGTCGGGGACGCCGGCCAATTCGAAAACTCAAATGGAAGTCCCTGTCATTTTCGGGGCCGAGGTTGTCCTGGCCCTAGCGGGAGAAGCTCGACGGAGAGGGCCGGATGCTTTCTTGCAAGCTGGGCTCAGTCAACTTTGTGATCTGTGTTGGGGTGAGAGGAGGAGTTGCAACTGTTGTGGTATGTCTTGGTGTTCTAGGTATAGCCAAAGCATTGCAGTGCTGTTGTAACTGTTCACATGAGCGGCAGAATGCCCTGGAGTTCATACAGTAGGCTGAGACCTATTGTCTATAATAGGGATCTTGCTCACTACCAGACACGGCCGTAAGGATCTCGACTCCTTCTACTGTGCCATCGCTGATACGTTGTATCGATCGGACATGGACAGGTAGTGGGATGATCACTGCGTGGCATGAGGGACTCCTTTGTGCAGTTTAACTATACCGGATATCACCAACATCTGTATGGGCTTCTCCCTAGCCCGGTCTATGGGGATAGTGTCCACTGAGAAGAGCACTCTATCACGTCCTGGCACTATGGAAACGGACGAAGCCAAGGACCCGCCGGCTTACGTTCTCATGGCCAAAGGCATTCTCCCGCAAGTGAGTCGGACCGTGGGGTTCATAGGGAATTATTATAGTCTCGGTCAGTTGCGGGACAGACTGAGCTATCGGCCTCACGCTGTGAACGCGTTGGGTGCGCCTCCCTTATCTGGGGAGCCCCCTGCTCCTGCCTGGCAGCGTACTGGACAGTAAGCCACGTGGTGATGCTGGCCTCCTTGATCAGAAAGGAGGTTTTAGGTTCCGTTTGAACCCTCAGCAGACATGCGACATCACTTGCAATCTTGCGCAGATGGACATATACGATGAACAAGTTTATAATCTCATCGGACAAATGGCGATATTGCCACGACTGAGGTATTGGCTTTAACTCGTCAAGGTGCGGGAAGTGTTGCTCCAGGGAATTCGGCGTTCACCAGCTGCGCAGATTGAGAGATGCTTTTGACCTGGTCCGACATGACGGTGATTATGAGTTGTTGAAAGCCATGCGGCAGAGGATTGGAGGTTGGGGGTCACGGCTCGGGACGGCGGGTTATTGTTGTGATAGGCGCGAGCCAACCCCATGGGGGGAGGAGGACGGGCGCGGTGATACACTCGGAGACGGTACGGTATATCAATCAGAGAGAGTTTATGCGGAGAGTACAGCCTCAGCCCAACTCCTAGTTCCATCATTTATACTACTGTTGACAGTTTCGGCGACTTTAGGGGTCTGTGTTCATGAGTAGGGTGGCAAGTGGGATAGAAGCATTCGAAAATACGATTCAATCACATTAGAGGTCGTACGGGCAGTATGCCCGAAAGTGTCTAGGTTTGGTTTCGAGTGAAGCCGCCGCCGTCGTAGACCGACTGAACTGGGATATTTGGAACGGTTTCTGACGGCTGTCGTATTCTCGTGATTGACGACCTATACTGTGGGAGGAGGCCGATGCCCCCCGGTCGGCATTATGTGGCTGCATTGCCCGTCGGGGCTGGATGATGGCGATGTGGCGTGGTATTGGATGGGAGGATACGACTCTGTCCTCGGCTGCTTCCAGTTGGCCTCCTCATCCCCAAGGTCGCGGTCGGCCACCATGGCGGTTGGAGCTGATCAGCTGGGTAGCGGGGACATCTTCAAAGACGGGGGCCGACCGGTAACGGCGCTCAACATAATGGGAAGAAGTCAGAATGATTCTGTTCCCCCACCAACTGCCATTACTGATCTTCATCAACTCCCTCATCATTGTTGTGTTCTCTTTGTCAATATACGGCTGGTCGTCGTGTTGCTTCACAGTGATGGCCTTCCGTGTCCGGCATCGAGCCTTCACAGCATGGGCGCGCCGCCAGTACCATGAGCTAGTACCTGCCCCTGCTCGTAAAGTGATCACTATCTTCAGCTGCATGTCAGTGGGATTCGTATTGACGCATGATGGGGTAGGCAGTCACTCCTCAGCATCGGAAGTGACCTTTCTAGATCCCGATGGTCCCAAAGATCTACCGCCAGCTAGCCCTGCCTGAGGCAACGTCAGAGTTCATCGACCCTCTGCCGGCTGAGGCTACGCTCGAGCGATGGCAGAAGGTTACACTTATGCTCCCAGGGTGAACCTTCAGTGTTGTCTTAGGAGCGGCAACTAGAAGCACTTGACATGGCGACTGCTAGTGCTGATGATGTGGCCAATATCATCTACGGCCGAGGTCCCCTGCTGCTCATTTACACGTTTCTCATGGCACGCTTCAGGGAGTGTGGCGAGCGATGAGCGAGTAACCGCAGATGAGGCGAGGAAGTACTTTGACCAATACGGGCCAGTGCGATGGACAGAGGAAGTAGGTCGAACATCACAGCATGTACCTGGTTGGCTCCGTCCTCAGGCGCTCGAGGAGTGTATCAGGCTAGCACCTCTTATAGTGGTTGTGAACCCCCATGCAGAGGGGCAGCAGGCCTCGGCTACGGCCAAGTGGTCCCGGCAACTACTATCGCGGAAATGTGACTTGACCTGTGTGTCTTCCACGGAAGAGCTCGAGGGCGATCATGAACGCTCGAGAGAGGACGCAACGCTCCTCATAGTGTACCCCCGGAATGACGCTGAGGCAGTCAAAGTACACTGCCTCTAGTACAACACAGCGGGGTTGACAACTTTGATCAGGCCGTGAAGGTGTTCCCCGGACGTCGATTAATCTATGTCGGCGAGGGCCCGGGAGGTTTCTGTGCCGACCCGCACTTTTTCGAGGAGGTTTTCCTTCACTGGAAAGTGGTCCGAACGTTGGACCTAGGCCCTCAGCTCAATGGCCAGAAGGCGTTTTCGAAGTTCTATGTAGGGCTGCCGTGGTTTAGTCTAAGTCTGCTACTCCCGAAACTCAGGTGCTCGAACGACGTGTGCTTCCTGATGCTCGATGATTCTCATGAAGTGAAGACGTTTCCGATCACATACCTGTCTTCGCCTTGGACAGTCGCCGGATGCTCCCTAAGTACCGTCATGTTACCACTGCCTCCACGGATACTTCCCTTGTCTTCACGATGGCCCGTTCGGCGTTCAGTGGAGGGGACAATCAAGTGTAGGTGGTCATGGAGCCTTCCCTGGATGTGGACCAAGATGTCCTGAGGGATCGAGGCAGATTGCGGGGGCTATCGACGAGGGTGCCTCTATGCTCAGCTCCATCTTATGCAAAGCTAGGTGGAGAGGGGTTGATCGAACAAAGGTGGCCATGTCCACCTTTCCTCGTGCAAGAGAGCACACAAGAATGACAATGTTCGTCTCATGATTCACGAAAGTATCAAGGTTTGACACACCCTCAGAATGTGCATTCAAGAATGTCAATACGTATACTAAGTTTGACACGTTGCGGAAATATCACATCCAAGAATGGCACTGTCAAGAACAAACAGATGGCACAGAAGAATAGACACGGCCATTTATATAACATCCAAGATAGACGACCATACGTTCGAGTTTGACAGTATACGATCTAGTGTGACAACGTGACTCAAACACGACCTCCATGCAAGAGCTGAGATAACGCGAAACATCTTTCAGTAAGGCTGGGTCTCGATGGGTCCAGTACTCGAGCTTTTGTGATCTCAGCGATTAGGCTGTCTCTCGCTGCTACCAGCCGATCCGACATCTCGGGGATTCCACTGTCGCGTCAAATCTGTTTTCCCTTGACTCAACTCAAAGCGCCTCTATCCAGACAGCATCATTCAAGCTACGTCACACCGTCATGCACACCTCCGTTACTGCACTCTGGTGGTGGGTCCTCGAGTCCTCTGGGCGTGGGTATGCTGTTTCTGAATACCTCACTTAGATTGGGTAAGGAGACGCCAGCGAGGCCGCTAGGCTCATGGTCTTGAAGGAGATCGAGTCCATCAGGAGTCATGGCACCCGACAAGAGGTCTACATTGGGCCCCGGGGCCTCATTGAAAATCACATTGTGGTAAATTCCCAGTCCATCATAGTCGCTTGGAGTGCCAGTTGCTGTTCCCGGAGTCGTAGCGGCTGTTGACTGAAACGTGCTTCCAGTACCTATTCTAGCCCTCAGGGCCTCCCCAGTGACCTGTGCGATGGGTGGAGTGCTGGGGAAAAAACCATCAGTGGCTCACCCGTCTCTCCGTGAGTAGCTCATTGAAGTCAGTGTTGTCCCCAACGGGGGAAGGCATGGGGGCTGCCGGACTGGCGATAACAGATACCAGTTAGCAAAAGTCTTATCTACCCTACTTGATGAGACTCTCAACGCCGTTGTCGACCCTATTGGACAAGGCGGCTTCCCCGATGTCGAAGTTCCCATCAGGCGGAGCGTTGCGGCGGCGTCCATCAGTGATGGCCACAGCATTAGTCGTAGTCGGCGTAACTGGTGGAGGGCAGGAGCCGACCTGCATACAGCGCTGCCCATATCTTCATAGCTGTCCAGTGACCTTACCTGTTCCGTCCATTTCCAATCCACACTAACTCCGTTACTAACGATCGGGCCATTCTCGGTCTCGATGATCTCCGGCGGGCCCCAACTGACTGACCTGCAGCGGGCCCTGGCTCTGAGACATCGAGTAAGACACTCAGCAAACAGAGGGCAACATGAACTTGTACCGAGATGGTCTAGGTTGGAAGCTCCTATGAAGATGGATTTGCTCTGAAGCTGTCCTCACAGCCTCTAGCTGCCTCTCGGTTATCTCAGGGCTGGGCTCATCTTCATCATCACTTTCATTATACAATTCCACATCCTCATTGGTGGCATCAGGCGGTCTCTCGTGTACAACGGGAGCCTCGTGCCCAGTCGCCTCGACAGGACAGCTTGGTACGGTCACTTGTACGTCTTTATTGTCGTCCGGTTCAGAAGAGACCTCGGATGACGGTGGGGCATCAGGGGAGGAAGCTTGGTCGTCCTCCTCCTGGTCATCCACGGGTAGTGGGGTCTCATTGAGACCATTCCAACTTACGAATATATGGTCAGGCATCACGTCGGCCTGAATAGGGATATGGTCGATGACCACGTCGCCAAGAGCAACAAAGTGTGTGTTCATGATCCATGCGACCGTCCACAACGCGCGCGCCCGGGAAAAAATCCCGCTCGAAAAAGTTGCTCAGTGTGCTACCCATTCGAGCACCCCTTTAGCATCGATTGATCGCCACCGCTGCGGTCGCCAGATTCGGGGAGGAGGCGCGAGTCGTGGTGGTATTGCTGGGAACCGGCACACTGGTCTTCGCCTGGCACGCAAGCACACTGTGGGTGCCTGAGTTCATCAAACCCTACACCGAGTTTCCCGGCGGCCTCGAAGAACCCCACCAGATTGGCTCCTCTGGCGAGGTTGTTTCGATTGGATGCCCTCCGCTCCGCCCGGCATGAGCTGTGCAGTCTGGGGGCTCCTGTGGTCGACCGACCGCAGCCTGAATGGCACAATGGGTGGAGTAGTGCAGCAAGTGATAGAAGCACCCGGGAGCAGCTTCAGGCGGGGTAAAGGAGCAGTGACCGCCCTATCCAGCATGACCATCTTCTCCTCACATTGCTGCAAGACATCCATCTTATCGACGACGGAGGCGTAGATGAAGTGGAGCCTTCTCGTGGATTGGTCTATTTTGAAGTGGACCGCGATGTACCTCCAGGGCCCGCACAGAAACCAAAAGCAGCGCTCCTTGTTCACTGGTCGGGCTCTAGAAAGAGCAGTTCGTGGATCCGTTTTCGCTCTATAAGGTGTAAGATGTTATTCGCCGCGACAAGGATCTTATCGTTGATGCCGGGGACACTGTGATGGGAATAATGCGATTTAAGGGAGGACAAACCTGGCTTGAACGGGGATGGCATTGGCAGTCGTAGTGTGCTGCAGATTACCATCCCAACCCTCGAAGGTCGCACATCGACTGAACACACTAGTAACAGAGGGAGACCTTGCCACTCCGTTGAGTGATGGAGGCAAAGTTGGAGTGTCATGCGGCTCCTCGTATGAAGTGGAGGAGGAGTGGTATGGGGACAACAAATATCTTGACAAGAGACATGGATCGTCACTTGCTCTGAGCGCCTTTGTGATACCTATTTGTTCGAACGGCTAGAGTTGTGAAGTCGGCGTACTTCACTGCTCGGATGAGGAAGTTGGAAACCCCAAGGGGCTGCACGAACTGTTGCAAGAGGCCAGAGGGACTGTCGAGTCTAGCCAAGCCTTCGTGGAGGAAGCTCCTAAAGTGGAGGTGGACGGGGTTTGGTCGGGACCAAGTGTACCAACTTGAGATGAGGGATGGTCAAGAACTCCACTCGAGGTGTCTTGGTCCGGTCTTCGGAAAACGGACTGGCCATTGGTATCCAAACCGCCACCACCTAAGCATGTGGTGTGGTACCCTCACCAGCAGCAGACCAGAAGTCTGGTTCTAGCACACGGACTCGAGCAGTACAACATAAACCATATGCGTTACAATCACTATGCGAAGGGAGGATCAAGCGAAGCCTTGAACTTTCTACACTTTATATTAGAAAATTCATTCCAAATTGAAGTTCGCTGGATTCAAATGCGTGAGGTTTGGAATGAGGTCCCACTATTTTGGCTTGGGGAGGAAAGGTGTGGTATCAAAAATCACCCTAACCCGGTTATGAAGGTTACGTGGCTATACCTGCCCATTCCCCGCCGACCACGTTCTCCGCTTGCAGAACTCTCTCTCCACCTCGCTAATCTAAGATAGTACTGGCCGAGTCACCTCCCAGCTCTTACCCTCAAGTTCTCCGCCTTCTTCCTCAACAGCAAAGCCCCGTCGGCCGACATGAAGTACCACGCTTTGAGAACACCTCGATGGAGGACCACAGACCTGTCACCACAGAGGGCCGTCATCAGCGTGCATGCCAACCATACTGGGGAATGACGAAACCTAAGTCATTATAAAAAGGCCGCCCTTTCACGTGGTTCTTCCCATATCGCCACAACATCTCATATCTGACTTCGGTACCCATGTATTGAGTTTCAAAAGGCGTGGTATACATTTCTATTATACATTCCACGTCCTTGTGCATTTCCTGCCAGGCGATACGGCCTCCCTTCTCGACTGTCCGCCTCAGCCGTGCATCTTCCCGCGGAGTGGTAATGCACCCGCGTGCCATAAGGAACGCCTTGTGCTGGCCATGGACTTACTGTCCAGCGCAACAGCAAGGGAGTAACGCATAAAGCACCATTATGAAGATAAGATGGTTATTTACCTATATGGTATACAGCATTACAATAACATAGTTTCTATCAGTACGGAAACGGCCAGGAAGCCACGAAGGAAATCACGACTTCTGGCTGCTGCACCCATACAGCCCTGCCGCTACGGGCGAGGCCGACTCCTCACCCAACAAGCCTAGTACCCAGACCACAATGTCCGTACATGTTGAGGAAATCCTGGCATTCCCAGCCTTCAAAAACGGGGTGCACCAGTTTGGAATTGGCAAGTAGGCTGGCCGGGACGGTCCCTAGCCGCAGCCATTCCACAAGGGCTTCTACACCTAGGTTCCTATCACCCTTCATCGCCTCGGCCATAAGGAACTGTGCCACATCCGGGGAGCACTTAGCGAGCCTTTCAAACGCCTTGCTACGTTTCGAGTCGGTAGTTACTGGCCTCTCCCGGTCACAGCTTGAGTTCTATCGAAAGTAGGCTTGCATATGCTGGATCGGTGGAACTAAACTGTTTGATGATATCCTCTATCGCATTCTCCCACATCTCGTCCACTCATATGGCCAGATCAGCCAGGGCTGTGGCCAATTGCACAGGTACTGGGTTTATGAGATGCGCTGAGTTTATTCAACTTATCTATTATAGACTCACAGAGACCGACATAAGAATAAAAATGGATTCTGGTGCAGAGCGTCTGTGCCGCAAAGAACAGCATATTTTCGCTATAGGTGTCACTTTCCACGCCCCAGGATTTTGCTGCCACTTACGTAGCCACTCATCGGCCCGGTTGCGTTCCTCCTGGTTCTGAGGGTCTGTAAGGCCGTCGGCAGTGTTCCTCCATAGGCCAACAACAACATGGGCTGAAGTGAACACTGAAGCGGGTGAAAGGACTTTAACTCAAATCCGCATAGTAGGGGTAATCATCACATTGCAGGGACGGCACTGGTAGTGGTGGTGAAGGGCAGTTGTTCAGAGCGGTTCATTACGACACTGATGCCCTTATTAAAGAATAGGCTTATGGGCTCAATAGAGCCGATCAACTACACCATGTTCCATGCACTGTAGCTTCACTTTACGTGCTTTCTGTCGTTAGACGGGCTCGGTCGCGACGGTCGCCAAATTGCGAAGATCTTCGAAAATCTGTCACGAAAATGAAGCCCCTCTCCCTCACCATTTCTCACAATACCAAAGTCAGCGTTTTCACTTCTCCTTCAGACCGATATGGTACTCCGTATTTCCCACATAGTTCCATCACGAAAGGCTGCACTGCCGGCAACGCGTGTCTGGGCAACCGTGGGAAAAGATGGTGCTCTATTTGGTACTCCAACCCTAACACAGGAGCTCCCAGGTAGCGTAAGGGACGGTAAGTGTTGTAGTAGTACCTCCCCACAGCCAATGGGCTCGAGTGTCAACATTTCTACTAGTATGGCATTGCAATCTAAACCAGCCTGGCTCCTCATCAGAATGGTAACAGTCTACGGCTAAGTGCGAGACCAAGAGTTGGATCTGATAACACTACGTTAGCCTAGACACACTCGTAGATGCCTACATGCAGGACCCCAGCTGTGCAGTTGGAGAGTAGGAGAAAGAGGAGACGATCGCTAGGCGGTACCAACTGGTACAGGAGGCAACCGTACCTGACACCACCACGAAGACTACTTTAGATGATTATCTAGGGCGTGGTTACCATAGCCAGAAGAGTGACATACCACATAGGTCGGCAAGAGGGCAGCAGTGCAGAGGGATGGACCGGCCCTTGATGTAGTACTGTAATGCACGCTTGCACGACTAAAGAGATTCTAGTGCACACACAGTCCCGACTAAGGGCGGCTTACAAATATCAAACTGATGATATAAAAATTAAAGCGCCCGATGGTCATCGCAACAGGGGCCAGGACAAAATGCTGTATCGGCACGATGACTCCAGCTATGAGCTCCTCCCACTTGTTGGAGTATGGCAACTCCTTGCGACTTATTAGGAAGGTCGGCAAGTAGTTGAACTGAGGATCCTCACGAGGACGTCGGGGGAAGCAATGATGGGCCTAAGGGCCGCCCTCAAGTGGAAAAGGTATAGGGATAGCCCCTTACGGCATGCTCCTCACTCCACATGCTAGATGATATACCAAACAAGATCGAACCGATGAACCATCCGATTCGAGAAGGGGATCTACCATCACCACTACCGCAGCCTCTATGGCATGCATCATGGGCAATGAAGGCACCCTAACAACGAACTGCACCATAGCAAGACCGCAACAACCTGAAATGCTACTACCTGTTGCCAGGATACACCAAGAGCTATCGCCCCTAGCATTGTCCAGCCCAGGCAAAGGCTTGTCAGTGCCAGTAAAAGGAAGGCCATAACGATGGCGATACGGCCGAAGTAATAGGAGACCCTGAATACTCAGTTATTGTATACCACTGAGTATCAACCTTATTTACTTCTGCTCATAGAGTCCTAAGCGCCGAACATGCCTTTCCAGTGCTGCAAAGTCAGCTTCTGCCTTGTCTTCAATAGAAGGGTCCTTAAGTCGACCAATGGCCAGGGGTGGGAGGTAATGCTTGGCGATGCCAGGGTGATGAATACCCCGAAAGAGAGAGGTCACATCACGCCCGAGGCAGCTCAGAAGGACTTCTCCACCTGATGGCAAACCGTATGGGAAAGCACTCACATGATCAACTACGCGTGTTGGTGACAATGGAGAAATTCTAGTAGAGTTGATACTTCTACCCTATGTAGAGTCGTAACTTTTATAATGCAATGATGAAATTTCGAATCTCCGCTGAAAAACCAAGCATATACATCAACACTGATGCCACGTACTCCCACCTCCACCGAGATCGGCCATTCGTGTTACCTGGATGTCCCCCATGAGCCACCCATTCAGTCACGTTATATATAATATTATCAATGACGATGAAGCCGTAACGCCGAACCTCGTCCATTGTGAACTCTGACGTGTCCTCAGGTCCGATGGCTTCTCTCTTGAACCTCTGTGAAGGACTCACCGTCTCCTCAGTAGACGCCGTAGAGGCCGGCGACGGCGGCGGGCTGGCCACAGTATGGCCAGGCATGGGACAAATTGAAAAATTTATAGCTGGTACAAGCAGGGCCGACCTCTATCGACACAACAAGCTGATACCAAATCAAGGAAAGCTCATGGAAAAAATGATCGAGACCAACTACTCGCAAGTGAACTGCTGCCTGGCATCCGCCTCGGTCAACCCGCAATCTCTGGTACTGTTGAACCTAAATGAACAAAGAGCCTCTTACATCGCTCCGATGCAACATCGCCGAGGCCTGGGCTATTACGATTCTCACAACAGTGACAACACATAGAATCAATGTTGAGTGATCATGCTAAGACTAGGCTTGAGAACAGTGTTGGAATATACGATCGCTCTCCTCAGAAGAACTCGGGAATTTCCTCACTAATTATACAAATTCGAGGAGTAGTGTACAGAAACCAAGGATTCAATTTCCCCCAGAGTTTCCTCAGAATGTCATCAACACATGCGATTGACCCTATACATATTGTCCTACACTGCTCACGGAAGACATGCCACATATACAATGTGTACTTCGAGATAGAGGGCATCCTATAGGCCTATGAGAAACACCCTTCTGTACCGCACACGTCCAGTACTTGTAGTGCTGACGGAACGCTTCCACGGCTTCTTTGGTTGAGCCAATAGCATCAATCTCAGCCATTTGGGTTGATGATAGCTCGAATGAGAATATGTCCTTGTTGACTCTCATCCGCTCGGGGTTTTCACTTTTGGGTATGTGGACAATCGAATGCTGTACCAACCATCGACCAATAACCTAAAACCAATACAATCCACCATTGAGAAGGTTGAGTCATTCCACCTGAGCTGTGGTGACCTTCTTATCAGCAGCGATTTTGGTAAGGACCGGATGCTCGAGCATCTCAGGCCTGCCATTGCCGAGACCACGCCAGGAGAGGATAGTGATATCCTTAGATTGGAAGTATTCAATAGTCTTCTTCCCTGTAGGGAAGGGGTGCAACTCAAATGAGATGTGCCAGTTGATGACTCACTGAACAGTAAAGGATTCACTTCAATCTCGTTGCAGGAAGGGGGGATGGAAATCCCCGCCTGTATGAGCTCCTCGTAGTCCTCTATAGTGTAGTTCGAGAGGCCGATAGAATGACATAAGCCTTCCTTGTACCTGCATACCACTCCTCTGCCACATCACCACCATAATAGAGGCTCTTACAGCCCCTCCAGAGCATGGTAGGCCTCAACATGCTTCCCCGGTACAGGAAAATGGATCAAGTACAAGTCGACGTAAGAGGTCCGACTGAAGGTAAAGGACTTAATAAACAGCAGTAGACAGTAGCTCCTCACAGATCCTTCAACGACTGCTTGCACTGGTCAATAACAGCCTGACGGCCTTTAAAGATCTTATCAGGCCACACCTTAGATGTGATGAAGAACTCCTGTCGGGGAATACCACTCTCCGCTATGGCATCGCCGACGACAGCTTCATTGAGGTAGAACTGGGCACAGTCGAAGAGCCTACAGTTATGACTGTTGATAGGATAATACAAAGTTGAACCTGACCTGTAGCCTTCTTCTATAGCATCCTTGATAACAGCCTTGCCATCCCGCCCTAATGGAACCCCTTCAAATGCCGACTTCGGCGCTATACCAATTCGAAACGTGCCCAACCCCACCATAGGGATGGAGTTACCACTAGACAATACCTTGGTCGGTATTCTCATGTTAACAACACCGAAACAACTGGTGGAGCCACAAGCCAATACCTCCCTACTGTTCGTAGAGACCAACCTCACGAACGACCTGATATCCTCCTATACACCAAAAATTCAGAACAAGTTGAGTGCCTATCCTAACCCTCTCATCCATAGACGGCAGACTGGCTAAAGTAAAGTCAGCAAGTCTGTAACGAGTACACTAACAAACCGAATATCTATTCACACAACGCAACAAGACACTGAGAGAAAACAGCGAAAAGATGGTGGGAAAACACGTATTAAAGTCAATCACTGGTGAATTGCTGCCTTGCATCGGCCACCGTTAATCCGCAGTCTCTAGTGCTGTTGACCCTGAACAACAAAGCAGCTGTCTTGGTGAAATAATAAGAGGCTTGATCAACAGAACTAATGATCCCTGGTTCGAACCTTGGTACTGTCAAAATCGGGACCCAATTCGAAAAAACCATTGCATACTAAGCTGTGAACTCACTTGCAACGGAGTATATTCCCGACTAAGAGACTCTCCCAATAAAACTAACCTAGAACTATGCGACTTAAACTAAGCCCATAAGCTGCTTCACCCCAACACCTCCTTACTTGTAGTGCTCACGGAAGTATTCGATGGCCTCTTTGGACAAGCCGATAGCATCAATCTCAGCCATTTGAGTTGATGATAGCTCGAATGAGAATATGTCCTTGTTGACTCTCATCCGCTCGGGGTTTTCACTTTTGGGTATGTGGACAATCGAATGCTGTACCAACCATCGACCAATAACCTAAAACCAATACAATCCACCATTGAGAAGGTTGAGTCATCCCACCTGGGCTGTGGTGACTTTCTTATCAGCAGCGATTTTGGTAAGGACCGGATGCTCGAGCAACTCAGGCCTGCCATTACCGAGACCACGCCAGGAGAGGATAGCGATATCCTTAGATTGGAAGTATTCAATAGTCTTCTTCCCTGTAGGGAGGGGATGCAACTCAGATGAGATGTGCCAATTGATGACTCACTGAACAGTAAAGGATTCACTTCAATCTCGTTGCAGGAAGGGGGGATGGAAATTCCCGCATTCACGAGCTCCTCGTAATCCTCTATAGTGTAGTTCGCAAGGCCAATAGAATGACATAAGCCTTCCTTGTACCTGCATACCACTCCTCGGGCACATTACGACAGTGATACGGCCTCCTACAAGTCCTCTAGAGCTTGATAAGCTTCCACATGCTTGCCAGGGACAGGCCAGTGAACCAAGTACAAGTCGACGTAAGAGGTCCGACTGAAGGTAAAGGACTTCATAAACAGTAGTAGAGAGTAGCTCCTCACAGATCCTTCAACGACTGCTTGCACTGGTCAATAACAGCCTGACGGCCTTGGAAGATCTTATCAGGCCACACTTTAGATATGATGAAGAACTCCTGTCGGGGAATACCACTCTCTGCTATGGCATCGCCAACGATAGCTTCGTTGGCGTAGAACTGGGCACAGTCGAAAAGCCTATAGTTATGATAATCACCACGAGCAGCAAGGACCAAGCAAACACTCCCCACCTGTAGCCAGCTTCTATAGCGTTCTTGATAACAGTCTTCCCGTCTCTCCCTGTTGAGACCACCTCAAAAACAGACTTCGGCGTTACACCCACTCTGTAGGTGCCGAAACCAACCATAGGGATTGCGTTACCGCTGGACAGCAGCATTGTAGGTGTCATCATTTTCAATAACACAAATGCTAGCTGATAACACCATATAACAACACCATCACTCATTGTGCGATGCGCAGCTCAGCTCAGGTAAGGAAAGGTTTCCATCAACCTTTGACAAGTCCCGAGAGCTCTATCTCCGCTGGCGAGTAAGTGCTTGGAACCCTATCTGGTACATATGGTTTCTCAGTGCTCAGAAGCTATGAACTGACGTGAGATCAATTACGCTTTGTACATGCTTAACCGCTAAACTGCTTGTAATCTTTAGCAATCTTCAGTCATCCCTCGGGGACACCATCCAATACAACACCTCATACACGACCTGTTCACCGAATATACGATAGAGTCTTCTCATCCCCGCATACTCCACGCGAATCTCCCTACGTAATTGCTACTGTCACTCACTATCTCAGAGTAGAGCCTCTGACCACCAACTGGAATGCGGTACAAGATTATCCCAGCGCCCTCTGCGACTCCTCTCATGCCCACGTAGTAGCGCTGTCCAAGTTACTCGGGACGAACAGCGAGTCTAGTTGGCTCAAGACACGTACATGAAGGTTTCAACCTTAGCCTTCTGTTAGCCGCTGTTGGTAGTAATCCCGAGTTGGGAATCGAAAGGAGCGGAATCTTGGACGATAAAGGGACACGACACAGTGTGAGTCACACAATGACGCAAACAAGGTTTAACCTTCAAGGTTACCAAAATTCTTTCATCAACCGACGCTAATTGATGGCACGGAAATAAGACACTTGAGTTGAGAATCTGCAGAATATCAACTTCCGGCCATGCTTTCTCCTCTCCCTTGATTCGAAGGGTGTCGCCTGGACTCTAGGCATTGGGGAAACCTCATAGGGGAATCTCCTCGTCTTAGTGGATAAGATGGTCACTTCCAGCGTGCTGTTTACACATCAGCAATAACCACCTCGTCTACCTACTCCTACTCGGCACGGTCGCGAGATAATACCCTTCGCGAATAGATCGATTACAGTGGCGCGGCATACTGGTCGATGATATTCCGGCTCAGCCAAGATTGCAAGTCTTGAGCGTTAAAATCGATCAGGTGGGCGGGCGCGGTATTCAGCGCACTACCAAGCAGCTCAGCGTTGTCTCTCTCTACATCGTGGACAGTTAAATGGAGTAATCGTATTAAGTTGTGCATCAGCTTGAGAGAATATCTTGAAGACTTCTTCGTCTTGAACAGCTACGATCAGAAAGCTGCTGCTTGGCTGATCATTTCTCCTCGGCAACTATTTCGCTCTTGTTTTCGAGGTCGATCCCTCTCTCATATAGACCCTTTGATACGCTAGCGGGCTTCATGGTAGAGGCTTCTACTCTGCAAGGCGTAGAGGAGGCTTCTCCTTAGCAGGTCGTATCTTACCTTAGTAGACTAGCGAGTTGTGCAGCGTACTTGGAATACTATCTGGTAGCTGGTCGCAGAGTCAAGGACCTCACCCATACCGTAATTCCTCCGATTCATAGGTGGACACCAAGAGTTAGAGTGCGAACATAACGTGTGGCCGACATACGTGGCTTACACTACCCCCATTTGGAGCCTATCTGCCTTCAAGCGAGTTTGGGTTAGGTTTTGGATGGGCAATCTACTGAGGATACCCTCTAGTGAACCAGACGGTTGGCGGTGATCATATCTATGGTGCACATTCTTTCATTGAAGGCGTTGCAGTGAGGAGTACTAGGTAAAGTGGTTGATCAAGGTCGCAGATCCTCTCGGCTCCTACACGATTTACCCTCCCTCTGGAGTTTGAGCGTCCACTGCTAAGGCTCTGGTCGCTATTCGCTGCAGATGCCTTCGGGTAGCCCGAGATTTAGAATGATATTCCACGTGCAGCTGCATCTCCCAGACGCCCCTTTATAGGCATCCTGAGTGAAGGGCCGTGAGCACAGAAGCAGCAGCATTAGTCTTCTGTGGCTTTTACGCTCGATGGGTGCTGTACAGCTATCCTACTGCATCCGTTGTTGGTAGGCTTTTTGCACTCAATGCTGCAAAGGGCATCAGTGAGCACGTATAGGTAAGTCATTTCTATATCTAGCGTGCGTGATGGTGTCGAACGTTTCACTTCTGGTTTGAAGGACTGTGTATATTTCTGATATTCATTATCGAGGGAATTGCTCATGCACTTCCCCGCAGTTGATTTGATTTCTGTGCTCTTCTCATATTGTATCGTCTAAGAAGTAAGCATCAATGGCCGCATTGGGTGGCCGGTGTCGCTGGATCGATGGGGTTCATCGTCCACGTGGCCCAAAGGGGTCGTCGTCGGGACACCTACTGTCAGACTGAGGCTTTCTATCGTCCCAAACCTCATACCTTCACTAGACATGTATTCCTCTACCAGCACAACGACGTGTGAGATGCTTTCTACCTCTCAGGCTTCTTTTATCGACTTGTCCGTTGAACGTCATTCCTTCATACGCCGCAATACTCATCCGTTTTACTCTCGTTATGTTGTACTCCGTGAGCTCGGTAAGCACCCCCCTACTAAAGCGAAGAAGTGAACTGAGTCGTTGCAGGGTCGGGGGGCTTTGGGACAGTCCTTCTAGCTGAGCACAAACGTACAGGTACCAAGAGGGCGGTGAAACAGATACCCAAGACGCACGTTGGAACTGATAAGGTAGGTAGTTGTATGTTCGCTAAACTGGAGCATCGCGGAAGTTCAGCTAGTGTTCGAGCACGAGATCGCCAGTCTGCTCGCCTTGGACCACCCTCACATAGTCAAACTGATCGAGTACTTTGAAAATGAAGTTAACTACTACCTAGTGTTCGAGCTCTGTGCGGGACCAGATCTGTTCGACCACATCATCCACGTCTTCGAGAGTAGAGAGAACGGCTTTCAGGTAGGACCGGGCATGGCCAGTGGATCTCGAGGAGTTCCTGTTTAGGAGGAAGAGGTAGCTACTATTATGCGGCACATGCTGAAGGCTGTTGTGGGGTGTCATCACAACAATATCATACACAAGGATATTAAACCTGAGAACTTCATGTTCCGATCGAAGGATACAGCCAGGTCGTCCATCAAGATGATAGACCTGGGCTTAGCTGAGGTGAGCAGTCTGTGGTGGAAAATATGCATATGGTCAACTACATGTGTTGGTGATAATGTGGAAATTCTGAGGAAACTTGGAGAAAATTTCATTGATTTTTGTTCACTTGCTTTCGAAATGTATGTAAACTCCTGAGCTCATCTGAGGGAAGCGAACGTATATCCCCTTGTTGTGAGCCGTAGTCTTTCCTCACCTTGCAACGTAGTGCTTGTTTTCAGCATAGCTCGGAAGTAGCCGATTTGGAGCGTAAACTGTTCGAAGAGGACAACGTTACAGCGGGTACACCAGCGTATATGGCACCAGAGGTCGTCGCTGATGGCGTCTATGGTGGGAGTATGCCTACTTGCAGTCTCTGTGTCGAGGGTGTTGTATTAGGTACAGCATCGGACATGTGGTCCTTGGGGGTCATCTCGTATGCGCTCTTCACAGGGGAGCCTTTATTTGGTGCTGACTGTGCGGACTCCCCAGCCGAGATCTTGGACGAGGTCCTCGATCCTGATTTCCTCGAGAGGCGTTTGAAGAACCCAAGTCTGGTGGATAAGTCTGTGGACGCTAAGGATCTTCTTAGGCGCCTTCTTGAGAGGGATCCTCGCAAACGTATTACCCCGGAGGAAGCACTGAAGCACCCATTTATCCGCAGCATTTTGAGCAAGGCTGGCGAGGCTAGTGATGGTGACACGATATGTATTGACATGAGATTTGCCCACCTCTTTGACTCACACTGTGTTGAGCGAATGGAGCGGTTCACTCGTCTGCCGACATTGAAAAGGATGGCTATGATGAGTGCAGCCCACCTGATAGACGACGACTCAGTAGCGGCCCAGCAGCACACCTTCCGTATGTTTGATCAGAATGGAGATGGCTACGTGTCGTTTGCCGAGTTGGAGGACGGTCTGAGAAGGGCTGGAGTGAGGGTGTCTGGCAATCTTCGTAAAGTGTTTGCTAGAGTTGACTTGGACAACAACGATGCCCTCAACTATAATGAGTTCATGGCCGCAACACTGTGTGATACGGATCTCAGTGAGGATCTAGCATTACAAACCTTTGATATGATGGACATAGATGGTGATGGATATATATCCCCCAAGGACTTGGTCGACTTTGAGCCCAATATCGTCTCGGTGGAGCACGCTGTCGATGTGTTGCTCGAGGCGTTCCCTGAGCTGGTAGATACTGTTGAACGAGGCATTTCTGCAGAGGACTTCGTTCGGCTCTATTTGGCTAAAGCTCCGCCTTTGGAAACTGTCAACTGCCCTTTACATGATAATTGATCATTTCTTACCACATGACGATGCAGCAGTACCAGCTGCTGTAGTCCATATCACATGCCATAATAGTGCCAACTGTGCCTCCTACACAATCCTTCAGGACCGCTTTGCGTTGTAATAGGGTACTGTGTTCTACAGCGGTAGTGCGTGTCCATCGTCGGTGTCGTCCATTGGAGGGAAGGGGATTAACTTCTTACGTTTTAGCTCTACCCTATGTTACAAACGGATACGACGTTACGTCATTTAGTACGACGAGCTGTCACGACAGTTCAGCAGGAGATGGAGGGCGAGAAGATACCATCGATGCCGCCCGAGTTGAGCCAGGACGAGGGTCAGCAGCTCACTGACCAGATGGCAGCTAATGCTGCGGTTCCTGCTAGCTTTGGTGCTAGGAATCGATACGAGCCCGTGTGGCGGTCCATTAGTCCCACTGATGGTGGCGGCCTGCAAGGGGACGTGGAAGAGTGAGTCGCTGCTGCTGCTACTGATTCTGAAGTGAACATGTTTTCTGAATTTCAGCCAAGTTGAAGGGCTTTCGGGCCAGTCGCCGCGGCAGACTTTCTACTTGGACGAGACGGGTCGTCGTTGGAGTACTGTTCCTTGGCCCGAACGGTGCCTTGCCTATGGCCCCGGAGTCGGCGGTGGCCTCTGTGGTGAAATGCTCGAGCTCACTGTCAACACGGTGAACCATAATCGCTACCGTATACCCGTGGGAGGTAATAACGTATCACTTCTGCTGCGACCAAAAGATGTGACTCTGGCCATCGGTGAATACAAGGCATGGTCGATGGACTGTGAGGACGGCTCTTACAAGCTGCGATATGATTGTGCTCGGCCTGGCTACTATTTCCTCGACGTGACTGTCAATGGAGGTCACGTATGTGGTAGCCCATTCGATGTAGTCGTGCGCCCAGGAAAGGTTGAGGCTCAATGCTGTCAGATAATCTCTGGCTCGGTGGTACCCACCTCGGATGGCTCGAGTCTGGTCTTGCCTGATACCGCCATAGGAGTTACACATGAGCTTTGGGTGGAGACTTGTGACGCGTGTGGGAATCGATCCTACGACTCCAGCGGTGTCTTCGGAGCCCGTCCTGTGGGGGCAGTCAGAGTGACCGATGTCACGGACTGTGAAACGGGCATATTCGTTGTGGCATTCACCATAGTTGCTGGTGGTCCAGGACGGATCGATCTGCTTTATAATGAGGAACATATAGGGAGCTCGCCTCTGTGGGTCGAGGTCGAGGAGATTTCGAAAGTAGACCAGACGAACTCGTTCCACGGTGTGTCCAAAACGCCGGTGAAATCAGAGCCGAAAGACCCCTTGATGGTTCTAGAGGAAAAGGAGGCGCGCATAAGACAAATGACAATCAGACTGGAGAGACTCAAACGAGAGACAGATGCTAAAGCCAGAGAGAGTCGAAGGCTGATTACAGAAAGGTTCCAACAGGTGGCGGAGCTCAGCGACCACTTGCCAGAGTCGGCTCGTCCATCGCTGACGAATGCTGCCGCCGACCAGCGGTCTGTGGTGGAACTTGCGAAGATGGTGTCGGAGGTGACCAAGGAGAGGGAGGTGTATAGACAACGCAACGCGTTATTGTGGGAGGCCCTACATAAAGTTAATGATAGTTGGCTTCGAGTTGAGGGGCATCAGGGGGGAGCTGACACGGAGAGCGATACATTGAATCGGAGTGACCACCGGCGGCGTGGCTCGGCTGACTCGGTCAGCGGGATGCCCACTCGTGGTGTGGACACTAGAGAGGCGAGTGGCGATCGGACCAAGATGGTTTGGAGAATACCGCGAAGTCGTCCCAACATGTCGGAGTTATTCCAGAGGGGAGTTTTCTTACCCTCCAAATGATCATCGAGCCACTCTCCACAATCAGGACCAGCACCACTTGTGCGGGTTGAGTTCAGCTCGAAGGCCACAGAGTGATCCTCCTCAGAGACGGCTTCCGGGACGATGCCATCGGCCTCCTGTGACGTAAGTGGTCATTGTCTTCATCTGGGGGCTACCTGAATCCCGTGGTGCAATGTCGCAAATTGCAAGTTGATGCGACTGGCATCCTTCGCCATGAAGAAAGGACACTGCGTGAATAGCTGAGGCATGTATGTGTACGTGCTGAGTGCTCATCGCTGACAAGTCGCTGTAGCGTTTCAACAATTCCCAGGGCGATTCCAACTTTGTTATCATCCTCTCGAATTGAATACTAGAACCTACACATACTATCGCTAGCCATTTACACTTATTTATTTTATGTCTTTACTAAGATGGCAACTAGTCTGGCCGATCCTCGTGGCAACTGCTTCCGGTAGTGCCAACGGGACGACAGTATTATATTGTGGGAGTATCCCCCCCGGTGCTCAGGTATGAGGCGGAGTAGAGACGATAGTACCCCCAATTTGGAGGCCTCCTCAGAGGGGTCCATTTTCGTTCCAGGAGCTCACTTCCATTTGAAGGTATTCGTAGTTGTTATAGTGAAGATTTTTCATACCACTCGCTTCACACTTCAGGAATCATTTGGTCCCTCTACACGCAAGGTGGATGAGTACTGGCGGTCATCTTTACCCCTGGCACATCGTCCGGCTCCCGACGAGGAACAACTCCGCTCTGGAGGCCCCAGGCTTTATGATCTGGACTCTACTATTCATGACTCGGTTGACCCCAGCTCAGTAAGGGACTTGGTCGCGGGTTCAATTCCCACAAGTTGCATTTTTCAGTTTGTCCATGCATTATTGAGGACCTCGTCGATGCCGCTCGGCCCTAATCTTGGTTCATACAGTGTTGATGGTGTATACGACCAGAAGTTCCCCTTGGTTGGCATGGACAGAGTCGTTAAAGAAAATACTGTCACTGGGACGAAGACCACCGGTTACTGGCCTCTCTTTGGAGCCCTGACGGCTGGGGTGATCGACACAGGGCCTCTTGTGGCAGTCACTGGGCTGCTACTGATCAGGTACACATTAATAAAGGCACGCAGTCGTATTGGCGAGAGGTCTACGGCTTCAACGGTGCCTCACGGGTAGGCAGCCTTGTCTCGTTCAGGAGGGCGAAGTTGTGATCTGCCCGTTGTTTGCCAGACAGTGAACTGTGACTCGGGGGATGTGGTCATTGGTGTTCGGTGGCGCTCCCACGCTAGGGAGGCAGCGAGGCGGGCGGCGGCAGCTACTGGACAGAATGAGAATGATCAAGACATGGAAGCCAATAGGAAACTCCTCGATATTCCTGATATACAGTGTAGGTCTATTGCAGCGCTGGGCCTCTTGTAGTGTGTGGTCGCAGGTACGAAGTTGATCACAGCCGAAGTGAAGGCGTATGGGATCGATACCGTGTACCAAGTGAAGAACGTTACTTATGATACTGATGAGCAGACTAGGGCTGAAAACACCATAGCTAGGTGAGACGGACCGAACGGCGGTATAGGAGTGAACGAAGTTTGCCTGGTTATTCAGTGTGAAGGATGTCCAACAGTGCATGCTGAGCTCAATGGAGGGCTTCATGATCAAAACTGGCGATGACTCTTCGAGGAGACAGGAGCTAAACACTTGTTCAGGACGACTCAAGGAGAGTGCCATGCCCTCCAGCTTTATAAGGTGCGGCTACTCTCTAACTCTACGATGGTCACTGTTCTTCACAGGTGGATGCTTAGCGCTCGCCCGATTAAAGCTGACGGGGGAACGGCTAGTCCTCAGAACCTCATGGAAATCGATATGGGATATAGGGTAGGGCGTCGTTGGGAACATCAGTAGTGGTATTGGTTTTGCAGGCCGATCCTGATATCGTGGCACAGATCCTGGCTGGGAACTATTCTTTCGACAATGACATGTTCGGTCCAACTAACATAGAGTCCCCGGCAGCAGCCAGAGAGGAGGCGATGAACAAGGCCCTGGGGGGATTGAAGGATGCCTGGAATATGGACAAGGTCCCATCCATTGAATCGGTGAGAAACTAGCCGTTGTCTTGGGGCGTATATAGCTGGGTCGATCACAGGTGAAGAGCAACTTACCAGAGAAACCATGGGAATCGTCTAAACTCATTGTTGGCAGCGATAAGTTCCTGGAGGGCACCATGTTGGGGGGCCGTAGGGTAAGAATTCAAAGGGACAGGGTATTAGTCCTGGCGATCCCTTGTGCAGCAGTAGGGACAGCACGCGCGCACCTTGTGTAGTGAACTTACTCGAGCTCGAAGATGTTTGTTGTGAAGAGGAGTACTTACTTGATAAACCTCCATGTAGAGGTGTCTACGCTGAGTATGTCTTAGCTGACTTGAAAACTGGGGATGCATATTTGTGGTAGAGTGATAATATCTGCATTGTGCTGGCGCGTCTTCGTTCATCTCACATTGGGTGTAGTTAGTGATAGGAACGAAGTTTTTGAGTATAACAATTGGTATTTCCGAGCTCCATAGAGTATTGATGTCAGGCGATGGCGGTCACTGGGTTCACCATGTCGACGGACGGAATGCCGGAGTTTGTCTGTGGAAAAATTGTTGCTTGTGAGAAGGGCACGTGCAAGGCCAATGGTTGTGAGTGCATGCCGGGCTATGAGGGGCCCAATTGTGACACTCGCACTGACCCGTAAGTGTTGGATCAATTTCATGGCGCGCGGTCAGGGAGATCATGTGTTAGGTGTCGCACTAAACCGTGCGGGCAGTTTGGTGAATGCGTGGAGAACTTTGACAAACCAACTGGTTACGAATGCCAATGCCAGGCTACATGGTTCGGCATTCACTGCGAGACCACCACCAACATGTGCCTCGAGAAGATCCTACTTGAAAGTAAACTGTCCACGTAACCGTTGTTCATGATGAGGACATTCGGTTCCTCAGATGAAACTGATTGGAGAGTTCGTGACTGTGGGAAAGGCAACTGCGTATCTGGCAATGGACAATACGAATGTCGATGTGAGGAGGGTTGGGAGCGGAGCACGCCTGGACTCGGTGGGAAGTGTGACCAGGAGGTAAGCTCGAAGGAAGAGGAGGAGGGGGAGGAGCTCCGACTTGTTGTTGTCAATGCTACTAACGTTGTGTGTTTGTTACTACTGTGTTGTTATGAGCAGGTCGTTGAGATTGCAGTTAATTTTGTCATTGCCGTCGTTTTGCTCTTTTACACTGTTGGCACTGTTGACGTATATTCATCAGTGGTTGTTGTAGCGCGTCCACAGGTACAAGACTGCGTAGGCCAATGGGTCGGTAGTACATGCAATGATGAATGCATGCAGGAGATGACCTTCAAGATCTTCCAGGTGAATTTGGGTCGACCTCGTCAGACATGGAAAAATACTATTGCCTCAGCCGGTACGTGGGTCTGGAACGCCGTGTGAGCATCCTGCTGGCAAGAGTCGCACTGAAATGTGCAGCTGGGGTGACTGCAAGAAGTGTATGGGCAGGTGACTGTCACACCCGTGGTTGTCTTGCTGTTCATCCTAGCGTTCAGAGACTGTAACGGTCGAGGAACCTGTGACGTGGCCACAGGGGTCTGCAAGTGCGAGGGGGCCTTTTCTGGTGAGAACTGTGAGCTCGAGAAGACTGATTGCTCAGAGGTGGGTAGGCTGTTGTTGTTTCCTCGCTGTGTATCGGTGTCTTAGAGCCGCTGTAACGGTCATGGAAACTGCGTGGATGACGGGTGTCGATGTGTCAATGGGTGGACCAACGAGGGCCCTGACAATGGCCCCCTTAATGGGGTCTACTGCACTAGGGATCCCTGTGAAGGTACCTCCTATTGTTATGAGAGCTCAGCTTATTACGGTTGACTTAGGTTGTCCAGTCGGGCAGTGTGATGCAAGGACAGGGTTCTGTTCGTGTCGGTCTGGGACTTGGTCGGACGTGAGTAGAGCCACAGGGGAGCCGGCGTGTGAGCTTTCCTCAGGCAGCATTGACTGCATTGTGAGTTATTCTCATATTACTACCACGGAGTACTCTGCTTTTATTAGGGCGATTGGGGTCCATGGAGTGAATGCCAATCTGACTGTCAGAGGCGACGGTACTTTAGTATCTCGACACTGCCTCGTAACGGAGGTAAGCGGTGCCCAGCCAAGGGTGGCGATGAGATGCAGGAGGCTTGCCAGATGGGAAGCTGTTGCCTGTAGGAGCTCCTATACAGGATTCGAACTATTCGGTTGCTGTACTCAGATTGAAGGAAGCTGACTGCCTCAACGGTGGAACTCTGATGGCGTCGACTTGTGATTGTTTGTGTGCGCCAGGGTTCCAGGGGTCACGCTGTGAAACTAAGGTTACCGACGCGGACCGGTGGGGACCATGAGGCTCCGTTCTGTATGGTATTTCCCTTTTTCTTTAGAGTGCTTGAGCGAGAAGCAATAATTGACTTTAGCGGTGACCCGGTCATACCAGAACAGGCTGAAGAGGAGCCCGATGCTGCCATGAACAGTGTTCAGAACATGGTCGTTGAGAAGAAGTCGCCGGTGCTGGTGAGTTGGGCTATAGCAACGCTCATGTTCACATTGTCACTGCCAGCTTATCCTCTGTGCCATTCTGGTCTTCTTCATTTTCGCGGGTGCGGCGTATTACTACCAATCGGAACAGCAGAAAAAACAAAGGTCCAACGATGTGGACCCTGATGCATTCATGGCAGAGTGAGTACCGCTTCACGCGAATATCATCTTTCCTCACGGCGGCTCCTGTCAGGGTACTCGCAGGCTCGGCGGGAGGTGACTCACTTGACTTATATGCATGATGACCATGCTCGCACCAGCTGGTGCTCTCGATGTAGCCGTTCGCCAATGCTGATGGCAGATTTTGTTGTTGAGTTCAGTACCTCTGTCAACCTTTTCTTTCGAGAGTAGTTACTTCTTCACGCCATGCAGGTCGCCATCATCACTCATCTCCTAGGGCTTGTACATAGCCGTATTCGCTCTATAGTGAAGAGTTCCTTTTTGAAATGTCGAATACTCATATTGTAGAGTTACGCAGCGACACCTTCACTCAGCCAACGAGTGAGATGAGACGTGCTATGGCAGAGGCGGAGTGCGGTAGGAAGGCGAGCAAATGTTTGTCGAATGAAATACTTGTATCAGGTGATGATGTGTGGGGCCTGGATCCTACAGTCAATGCTTTCCAGAAGGAAGCTGCTGAGAAGTTTGGATTCAAGACGGCGTTGTATTTGCCGACGGCTACCATGTCCAATCTGGTGGCTATGTTGGTCCACTGTGAGAAGAAGGGCAGTGAGATCATACTAGGGGATAAGGCCCACATGCACATGTACTCTGCTACTATTAGTGATGATTCGGATGGTGATAGTTTGTACTAGATACGAACAAGGCGGCTACTCGACCATTGCCGGGGCTCATTGTAGAACAGTCCCGAACCAGCCTGATGGTACTCTGCGTCTTGAGGACGTAGAGTTCGCCATCCGGCCCTTCGAGCCCCACTATCCTATCACTAGGGCGGTGTGCGTGGAGAATACTCAGAACGTCTGTGGTGGTCGGGTGAGGGTTTCCATCGTATGAAGGTGGTAGGCTCAGCCGTGCGTTACAGGTACTCACCAAGGAGTATATAGATTCCCTCGGGGCCCTCTGCAAAAAGAACAACGTCAAGTTACATATAGACGGTTCGAGGATCTTCAACGCTTCCGTGAAACTTGGTACCAATCACAGGTATTCCAGCTCAGTCTTGAAGATGGTTACTCAGGCATTTCGGTCAAGGAGTTGACTGAACAAGCTGATACGGTCACCCTGTGTCTGTCCAAGGGCCTGTCGGCGCCCATGGGGGCTCTTCTACTCACTCGAACCGAGGCCGATGCAGTTCTGGCGCACCGCTTCCGCAAAGTAGTCAGGACTGTCCACAGCATTCTGGCATGGAGTTGATATTCAGGTGCTCGGAGGGAATATGAGACAAGTCGGTGTCGTAGCCTGTTGTGGCCGCATTGCTATCAACGACATGGTGGAAAGGCTGGCTGAGGACCATAAGCATGCCAAAATGCTCGCTGAAGGGCTTGCAAGCATTGATGGAGTTGCCTGTGACGTGGACGCCACTGAGACCAATATGATTCGTTGGGGACTGGACAAAAAGGTAGGACACGTGGAATGAAGTAAAAGGTGTGATCGCTGTATTCAGGTACAGGATAGAGCCACGTGTGCTAAGGTCGTCGAAGCTCTCGCTAACAGTGATGAGGTCTGCGTGAAGATGATATGCATTGAACGTGGGTCGGCGATCAGGGCCGTCACTCATCGTCACATAACGACCGACGATATTGTCAAGGTAAGTGCTACCGACGTGAAGTGCTATTCATATGGTCTGTATTGCAGGCGATCAACAAGGTTCGCAAGGTGATGGAAAAGGTAACGACGACTTGGCCTAAACTCACTACTGCTGATCATGTTTTGACCATCGAGTAGAAGCCGTGTTCATTCTTTGTTTGATATTGTTTTGCACATGTGCGGGAGTTGGATTTTTTTTCAAGGAAACAATGATTGTAGCGTTGTCCCGAGTGGATGTGTTCATGGTAATTGTTCATGGTATCTAGTCTATTAACCGCCGTCGACCTGAACAATCCACATTGAATCTATTTTCAAGAGCATCGGCATGATTGGGCCTACAGAATGATAAGAGTACGTATGACATGGTGTACACTTCGAAACTCAACACTTGTATGAGTATGATTTAAATTATTCCCACAGTGTCTCTCCAAGCCATTCACCCAAGGGCATATCATAAACTCGGTCTTTCCAATTACCCGCATGCTTGGCAGAGGACACAAGTTGCCTTGCAAGAGCCTTGGCACTGTCGCTGCCTGCAGACTCGAAACGTACAGGAAAAGCATACCAGTCACTGAACACATCAGCCAGCATATCAGCGTTCAAGCGACCGGTCAATTCTCCAGGCCTATCAGGCTCCTGACCAGGTCGGGTGTATACGTAATGAATTTGATAAGTCTTGGGGTACAGTGTTGTCAGAGCATCCAGCTGACGTCGGAATAAGACCTGCTCCGGCCCCTTGTTGAAATAAAGTAGTCGCACATCAGCACCCTGACTCAACAGGGCTCTGATAGGATCCATACAAGCTGTTATAGCACCACCAAAGCAGAAGAAGCCGACTCTATGGGCTGACGTGTCCAGACTGCGAAGGAGGCTAGGTAGAGGAGGGAAGGGACCGGAAATGTGCATCATAGAACCGGGCCAGACGTCCTCAGCCATTTCCAACGACACGCCAGTACGGACTTTGACGGCCAGCATGGTCACATTGCTATCGTCGGTGGAAACTGGGCAATAGTTACGAACTCGCTCAGAGGGCGCCTCGAACTTGATCCACTGCCCAGGACTTATGTGACCCTCATACGTATAGTTTAACGTGTACTGTATAGTAGACGCAGTGACATTCCTTTTGTCAAGCAACTCCACATCATGAGCATGTAACGCTTGGGTGACCGCGACGCCAAAGCCACCAATGCAGACAACGATGAGTACAACCAAGATAAGGCAACTACAGCGTAGAGCCAATCGACGATAGGAACGCCTTTTCCTCTCACGACGTCTCTCGACAGCTGCCTGACCGAGGAGGTATTCGGGGTCCACAGGCATTATCAGGAAATACACTCTGAACATATACGATAGCAATTACATCACTGTTACCACTCGTGCTGCATCGTGACAACGACATCGTCAGTCTTCAACGCTGTGTGCTTCCCTCGTGAACTATCTAACGCAATGCATATGGTGATACTTCGAAACCGTTGTGGTAATACCAAAACACTGTCTAAGATAATGACGCAGAGTGAGATATGATTGCGAGAAATGGTTCACTTTTATTGCTCCGATGGCTACTCAGTATAGCCCTTCCACACAAAAGGATACGATAACATTATAGACTAGCCGATGCGAATAGGAACCATACCATATGAGCAGCCTGCCGAAGCGAATGACAACAGGATCAAGACTGTTCCCTCCCAACCATATGAAATCAGTATATAAAATTTTACTACTCCTACTACCACTACCAACCACGACCACGCCAGACCGACCGACCCCACACGTGACCCATCCATGGGCATCCGTCAATCATCAATATATAATACATGAAATAAGGTTACAGGAAAAACTGGCAAAAGCAATGCCGGGACGGCATACACGTTGACGATACTAACAATGAATTTATGACGACAGCAGTAATCAGTCTCATTTAAGAAAGACTCGCAACCGTCTGCGAGTATACTGACGATGATGACTATTTTCAGACAGCCAGCACCATCAAAATACAAACATCTTTCTGAGTACGAGACGCTTTCCTCGATGAAAGACTGAAAGCGTCGGCGATAAAAAAACTTAGCGGGAATATAGCAGCTCCAGTGAACAACAAGTATGTGTACCGAACCGTAGAAAAAGGGGCATGTGTCGCACATCAGAATTTTTCAAACAGGGAGTGATTTTCAACAAACACTGCCGAGTCGAAAATGAAAAGATTCTACGAAGACAGTGTGGTAATGGGAATAGAAGTAATAGCAGTAGGACATCAGTGAGGCTTGCGATCTCAACCGACCACAAATCTTGGCATCAATGATCAATCGTAGCTATGGACGAAAAAGTTGAATACTATACGACCGTATCGACCGGACAGTTTCTACATGAAAGGACCAAGTAGAGTAGCAGTAGTAGTAGTACTATGTCTCTTGTTTTATGATAGTTTTAGAACAATAACAGCAGCAGCAGTAGTAGTAGTAAGAGTTCAACAATAATAGAGACAGAAAATGATCACAATAGACTCCTCCTCCGATGATTAACCACCATAGCAGTAGTTACATATACTGCCACTATAATTATTACTATACCCTCTCAAAAGACCACTACAAGACAGTGTATCAGTAAACAACAACCCGAGGCTATGGTGCCAAGTCGACTGGGCCGACTTCTACAGGACGAACGGCGATCTCGACACGGCTGGGGTTTGGTGACCGTCTCGAATGACCGCAGGGGGCAGTTGGGCCGGAACAAATTCCTCAAAGCTCAACAACGGTGACATCGCATTGGCAAAGGGTGACTCCAGAGACCGACGTGCAACCTGAAAGGATTACTCTGTGTTACATTTGGTGTGATACGCGGTAAGAAACCCGATATTCGCGCTCTGCAGTAGTCGTTAAATATATTTTTCACTAGTCTTTTTCATACCACGGGTGCAACTCCAATGTAGTAGTTATAAATCCTATTTTATGTATAATCAACCACACAGAATTAATAATATGCTATTCATCTTCAATCACTGTAGTAGTAGATGTATATTGGAGTTTCACCCGTGATATGAAAACACTAGTAAAAAACATATTTCACAAACAACTGCATACCGCGGATATCCGCTTTTTCACAGAGTATCACGCCACTTCACGTAAAGCGAGTGGAACTTCATTATTATAATTACTAATTGATATGAATTCATAGGAAACTGAGTCCCACCAAACACTGGCAATAACGCACAGAACGACGCCGCTATCGATCACTTCAGTGCCTCACCTGATCCTCCACATCCACTGTCCTCCTGAGGCTTTCCTTCAGCAGCTTCTCAGGGCTGTGATTGCCAGCTTCTTCGTCACTGCCTCCTCCCATACTACTCGGACTGCTGTCCAGTAGGTGACTAACCGACGTCGCCAAAGACACCATGTGGGCGTCATCACCCATATCGTCCGTGGGCTCATTTCTGTTCACTTCTGCGGCCCTCGTTGGCTGCGAATATTGCCAGGATGGGACCGTTTCGATACAGCTCTCATCTATAGAATTGAACCGATCGGACCGAGGTGCCGGTAGAAGAGGCACCAACGGTGTCGAGGGTCTCCTCCCAGTAGTCGTAGAAGTAGTACTGCCACTTATAGAGGCGGGCAATACCATAGAGTCTGTTTGGCTCCTTATAGTTCGATTGTAAGGTTCCATCACGGGAGATGGACGAGTGTGTGGGGAACTATGACCAACCATCGAGGTCGAAGTTGACGTTGACTGTGGACGGGCCTCAGCTGGCATAACCTGAACCTCTTGGTCATGTATCACATGCGTGCCCGCTCCTAGAGCCGCTCTAGCCGAGCGTACATCACGGAATGTGACAAAGGCGAAGCGACGCTGGGCACCGGTGGCTTTATCCTTCGGGATGTAGACGTCCGTGACCTCACCAAAGTTATTGAAGTAAGCACGCAGATCCAATCTGGTGGCACTGTCTGGCACGTGTTTGACAAATATTCTATCAGTATTGACCGAGTAGTCTGGTCGAGGTTGGGCCCTCGTGACGGTGAGTTGGGTCCCCTCTACAACGTGAGGGCGCTCCTGTGCCATGACGTCCTCAAGAGACTGGCTGTCTTCAAAGCATACGTATGCAACGTTGGTGGCCGACTCTGGTAGATAGCAATCCAGAATTGAACCGAAGTAGCTGAAGTAATCACAGACGGCCTCTCTAGATGGGATCGGTCTTTGAGGAGATGCACGGCAATCCACACGGCAAAAAATACGAAAGCCCGACCTCGAATTTGACCTTTTACCAGTACCAGGAGGGACTAACCCTCCCTGATGGTGATGATGATGCATAGCCTCGCTAGCACCATTGAAGGAGATGCTTCTAACATGAGGAGGAGACGGCAGACCAGCACTGGTACTGGGACTACCGCCATATAGTGAGCCAAAGCCCCCTCCCCCTGCTGTGGTGGTGTGACCAATAGAGGATGATGCTGCCCTACAGGGCCTATTGAGTGGAGTCACCAGGACAGTATACGACGCTAGTGGGGACCCTGAATGCCCTCGGGGGTACGAGTCTGGCGAGAGCTGAAAACAAAGGAAGTATATGCCATCTATTCGCGCTAGTAGCGCCTTCCCACGTATTCTACCGGTTCCATATTGGTCTTATCGAATTTATCGTTACTGGCTTTCCTAGAGCTCCTTCGCCTTCTGTCCTCCCCCTTGGTCGGGGACTGTCCGGAAAGTGTTGGTGTAGTCACCGCAGCACTGTCACTGACGGGTTGCATTTTCATGAGATTATTATAACAGTAGTAAGTTGACGAGTCAGCTGAAAAGACGTACTAGAATGCCAAGTCGTGCAACAACGTTGTCAAATCGATCACTTTGGCGTGCGCTTTCTGCACTTTCCGCACACGCGAGTCCTGACGGTCTGTCCACGGCTTCAACTCCCACCTGTCTCCTCTCTAGTAGTTTTGAAGACGTCGTGTAATATCAACCACAAGTAGCACTTATTGCCTCTCCACAGCTAAGCCTATATAAGAGGCATTCAAACCAGTGGTCAGCCGAGTTCGCCACATCGGTTGCTTCACGTAACCTCACTGGCACGTAGTTTACGTGTTGATGATGGACCTTCACTGAGGGTAGCCGAGTTGACTATACTAATAGTCAACTGCTGCGATGCACAGCGTGGCACAGAGTTCAGCGAAATCCTAATCGATTTACCGAACCACTTAGAAGTGATTGTGCAGTAACGGTTCCTGGCACAGTATATGCACTTGTACAATTTATCAGGAGTCTTCGTCTCCCCGAAATAGACTCTTGTATTTTGTGGCGCGTGACGGGCCCTTGGTGTTCAATCAGTTCGCATTGTGAATTCGAGGCAAGGCCTGTCCAACTGTATAATGTCGATTTCTGCCGAGGCTCAACCTGAGGTTTTCTCGACTGAGCTAGTCGGAGCTGTCGGGGATATCCCTTTCGGCACCAGGAGTTTGAAGCTACCAGACTACTACGCTGTCCTAGATGTGCCTCGTGCGGCCTCCCAGAGTACCCCCTCGATACGCCGGGCATGTGTGGTCGAGGACTTCATGTTAGGTGAAATATGCAATGGCTATCGCTTCTCTGCTCTCAAGTGGCACCCAGACAAATATCCTGAAAGTACGGAGAGGCGTCTGATACTCTACAACCACTAGAACCACTTTCATTCTTGGACTTTAGTATTTCCTGTAGAAGTTATCCTGAAGTCGATTTCATCGTCATGATAGCATAGAGCTCACCGTCCCTCAGGCTCACGCGTTCATGCCGCATCCCAATTCCAGCTAGCGGCGGAGGCCTATTCGGTCCTGAATGATTCTCAAAGCCGACTTGTCTATGATCGATACGGCCATGAAGGTCTCCTCTATGGCGTTGCGGGGACCGTCTTGGAAGGTGCCCTCTGTTTACTGTAGTACGAATCAGCACTCCTTTAGGTTCTCCAGTCAAGGTCGACGCTATGGAGGTCTATGAGGCCTTCTTCGGTTCGTACTCGCCTTTCGCTGACCTCATACGTGAGAAGCAGGAGAGCATCAAAACAGCAGCCGAGTCCCAAGGCCCTGCCGCTAACCGTGTGCTAGACATTACCCTACGGGAGGCTGTGGCAGGGGTCACCAAAGTAAACAAGCTGCTTGTGTCCTGAACGCCGGGCATGGCCGTGTGTCAGACGATAGAACTAGATCAAGGCCGTGAGCTTAAAGTTTCTATTCCGCCTGGCACCGTCAATGGTTCGGTCATGCGCTATGAGGGCATGGGACTTGAAGAGCCAGGGGCTTCCAGACCGGGGCCACTGTTGGTTACTGTGAGGTTTGGTCCTCAAGACGGGTTCACCTTGTGTTCTGAGGGCTCTGGTGACCTCCATTATGATGAGGATGTCTGTGTTTGGGACTGCCTTCTCGGTGTGAATGTGGAAGTCCGTGACCTGCTATCGGGGGCAATTCTGAGGCTTCCGATAGATGAAGTGGTGACGGCCACTACCACTAGAAGATTCTTAGGCAAAGGCGCACCTCGACAGGATGGAGGTGTTGGCGATTTGGTCATTCATTTTAACATTAAATTCCCTGAAGTGATAAATGAAAGCCAAAGAGAACTTATTATGCAATTGAAGTCTTTGGACTAAACTGTGCTCATGAGATTGCTGTTGTTCACCACAAAGTGTCGCTTTTGTTTGTAAGTTGCCATAGGGGTCACCGTAACTGTGAGACGGAGCTCTGACTATTTAAGTACAGTTCAATGATGTCCAACTCGTCATATTCTACTACCGCTACCAGCTGTAGTGGTTTCGACAGTCCTCTGTGTATACCTCGGCCTAAAGGGTGTCTGTGTTGGGAAGACCTTCCTCAAGACGTGATCGATGAGATCGTCTTGGTGTATGCCCTCGACACCCCTCTTGAGCTCATGGCCCTCGCGTTGGTCAATAGAGCCATGCTTCAACGAATACGACTTCTACTACACCGAATGGTTACCACGCCTGACGATATCTCTAAGACGACCGACGCCTCGGAATTCTTCATGTCGAGGTTTAGTCGGTATATGGAAGCTCTCGCTCAGCTGCCGTCGGTGCATCTTATGCGCCCTGCGACTATTCGAACTCCTGAGGCACGTGAGATCGCTTTGTGCAGCCAAGATCCTGATGAAGCTGTTGGTGGTGATCGTATTCGAAGTGTCTCTGTTGGTCTAAACAATGGCTTACCTAATACGATGGTCTTCTACTGTGCGGTATGTCATACGCCTGTTCTTGTGAACTGTGCTATTCTAAGCGACAATTATCACGGTGGAAGAGGACCGGCTTTCCTCGTTGACTGGGTCATGCATCCCATGATAGTCGAGGAGAGGCTCGCATATACTACAACCTTCACAACAGGAAGATATGTCGTGTGTGATGTCAAGTGCAGCACTTGCAATTCGGCTGTGGGGAAGAAGTACTTAGCGCCTATGGATCCCACGAACGTCTTCAAGGCCAACAAATTCCTCATCGAGCAAGCCGCCTTGTATGTCCCTGAATGTTGCCGAAAGTCGGCACAGCGGGGGGTGTACTCACTGAAAGAACAACCTAGTCCAAGCGATGAGATCTGTACCCGATGCCTCGCTAGAACTAGAAGGGCTACCGCTGAAGCAATTCTTCGGATCACTGCTGACTTTGCAATTCCTCGTGTTGGTCTGTTGTATGATGTGATGCAAGAGCAGGCTTCAGCGTGGTCTGGGGCTTCTTGGTCATTGGTCAAGCCAATAGCAGTTGTCCGTAGTCACAGTGAAGGCTTCCTCAAACGCGCGTTACGATTCGTCATTGGTGACCGCCCTGGCAAAAGCTCCTCCTCAGCGACGGTGCCACTAGTGAGCGAGAATGATTGTGGAAAGAATACGAGGTATAAAGAGAAGCTATCTGGTTGTTTGGCAAGAATGCTGGTTTGGGTGGTCACTGCTGAGGACTCGACGTGTGAGAGACGTAACACACTGCAGATGCTGCTCGACGATGGCATTGTTGAGGCCATTTCGAAGGTCACCAGCTCTGCTAAACCTGGTCGTATTCTAGAGCAAGCCGCATGGTATGATAAACTCATCATCCTCGAGGGCCTCATTCGTGGCATTTCTCTGTCGCCCGTTCATAGAGGGGACGCTCTGTCTGTGCGCCAAGCGAGGTCCCTGGTGTATGAAGTCCGACGGAAGTGGATTGACTCGCCCGGGACCATTGCCGCCCCGTTGGACTCGGCTCAACTACGCCGCATGCCTACAGTGACAGAGGTTCACCGTGAGGAAGAGTCCAGGATTCTCATGACAATAGAGCGACTTCGTCGAAGCAATCCTTTGGCACACCTTCGCAGGTCGAGAAGCGTCGGAGCTGGTGACAAGAACATGGAGCGAAGGTTATCATTGCTGGTCACAGCGGTTGCCAATGTGACTGAGGACGTTAATGAAAGAGATGATAGATCCCGACTTCGAATAAAAAATGAACTTGGTGCTATCCTCGGCCTTCCTGCAGAGAATTTGCAGTCGAGGAGCTCAAGTGTTGACATGTGGCCTCCCGAAAACACGGGTAAGTCTTTCGACGGTTCTCGTCTGTGTGATGTGTGCGAGATGCTCATTCACGATAAATTAGCGAGTAAAAATTTCACCCGCAGCTTAGGCATTCATATTGTTGTGATATGATTCAGGATTCTGTGGCCCAAGGTTGTTCAGCAGACATTAGTTCTGTGGTCAAGTATGGAGGGAGGCATTCCTCAAGTTTGACATTTCCAACGAGATCGTTGACTTAGAGCCTCGCGATAGCATTACTATGATTAAGTTTGATTGTGATGATAAGAAGTAATTATGATAAAGTTCTGAGCAGTTCTGTGTCGCAGATTCATTTCGGCAGTAGTCATGCTCGATGCGTCAACGCTTCTAAACGTTTTCTCTCATTGTTACCTCCACACGGTGTTGAGTGCTACCAATCCTACGATGCCTTTTGGAGAGGAGAGTAAACCTATTTAAGCTAGATAGAGCACATCATTATCCGTCATTATACGTGAAAGCTCGATATGACATGTTGTAAGCGCCGATGGGTCGGGATCGCATCAGTAGGGTGATGATCGGCTGAGCATTGTGGGTGCCATCAAGAGTGGTAGAGCGTGAGCGGGCCTGCCACTATCAGCAGCGTGAAGGATGTCAAACCCGTTGGTATTCAGAGTGCTTGTATCGCATTGACAATTCTCTGTCCCGTTGTTTGTCGGGTTGAAACGCATGATGAACTTGTAGGCCTTCATCACCTATTCAACGATGTTGGGGGATGGCACCCTCGGCTCGAGGGCCTCGAGCTACCTATATTCTGTGTGAATATCCTGCGGCCCGCAGTCTTTGTACACATCGTAGTGATTACAGATGACAGTGCTTGCTGATGCCCGCATAAAGTACCATTTCCTCGGTGACCCCACATAGAAGATAATTCGAGGCGGTCTGATACTAGTCTTTCGTTGAGCTACTCGGATGTCCCAAGATCTACAACGGTGGAGGGAGAAAAGTTGCCGAGTTTTTCTAAAGGTCGAGAGCTAACTCAAATCCCAAAGAGCCTCGATGTCACGAATCATCACTTTGATTGCTTCCAGGAGACAATGGTGGGACTCGGCCTGGACGAGAACCTCATCGACGAAATTCTCATTACGAAGAGGCGTCTTAAGGACGATCGACTAACTGGGAATCAATTCATTGGAACTTCTCACTCGCTCTTTCGAACATCATCGAGTTCCAACCAGGGCACAGAAGTTACTATCACAACTTTCCCCCGTGTTTGACGTAAAATGCCTTCAAAAGTTTTGAGTCAAAACTCTGAACTCGATATCACTTCATGTCGGAAAACTCCATGGAGGGCCTTCGCCTTCAAAAATTGACTGTGCTTCTAATCGCATCGGCAACACGATGTTTATTGGGCACGTAGAACTCCTCCCAAGCCAGGGGAAAAGGTGTGTCAAAGCCAGTCACGCGGCTAACGGGAGCCAATAATGATAGGAAACAATCGGCTTGTACCCTAGCCGCGATTTCGGCACCTAATAGGATGACAACAGATCACGTGAGACATCACACCATGTTTGATTTTTGTGACGATGAAAGACCAGCCTGATGCTCAATGCCATACCAAAGCCGTTAGTCAGAGGCGCCTCGTGGGCGATGACACATCTCCCAGTCTTTTTGACTGAATTCACTACTGCCTCGCGATCCCAGGGGATGATAGTCTGCAGGTCCACCACCTATGACAAGCGGAACCATTTGAATCGGGAGATAGCAGATTAACTCACTTCTGTTGATATACCTTCCTTCGAGACCATATCGGCAGCATCTATACATCTATGAACTTGATTGCCCCAGGCGACAACCGTTATATCAGATCCTGCAAGACGGCACTCGCGTCCTAGGGATTGAACTCGTCCTTGGTACCCTCTTTAACAATGTCAGCTACGCCCAGAGGTAATTCGAAGTCCCCAGTCGGCACATCGTCAGTGCTAGCTCTGTAAAGGGCCTTGGGTTCAAAGAAAACGCATGGGTTTCGATCTCTGATACACGCAAGGAGTAGACCTTTAGCCTGTAGTGCGGAACGCGGTATGGCAACCTGAAACCACACTCAGCCCAAAGGTCTCTGTGGACAACGGTTCCGACTTTGATCCCTGGGCAGTGAGCGAAGAAAGCTTCAACACTCTGACTGTGATATAGCCCGCCATGACCGACCGCACCAGAGGGAGCACGGAAGGTGACACCTCCAACGTGATAAGCACCCGATGAGCGGTAGCGATACCTCGAATCGGTGCGGAAGTATGCACTAGTGTTGCACAAGTCTTACTTAGCCCCTTCGTTGACGATTTGGTCGAATGCTGGATATATGTAGTCAGCGAATTGGATCTCAGCAATGACATCGTGTCCTCCCGTAGCGGCCATCCCGAAAGCAAATCCAGCGATACCCTACGGCATTCTAATCGTCGAGCCAGCAGTCAATACCGCTGCCAACAGTCTCACCTGCTCTGTAAGCGGAGAGTTGAACACTCGTTCAGGGCCAAATCGCTCTCGCATGTTGACTGTACAGCGGAAGACTCCTCCGAAAGCGACGTCCTCACCTGCAGATCCACAATTCCGTCAATACAACTCGGAGATGGGATGGATCACCGAACACCACAGTTTTCGGATTCTCCTCCATTGCGACCGTCATTGCAGAGTTGATAGCCATAAACATGTTCATCTTTTCAGACGGTTCCTTAGAAGCCGGTGCGGCAGACCCAGCACGGCTACGGAAGCTTATAGTGCCAGCATTGCCTCCCAGACACCTTCGACTTAGGGATAGAGCCATATAAATGGCAACCGGGACTCAAACTCTGAAACTCGAAAAACAAGAGCTAACGAGTATTGTCAAATCGTCAACGGGATTGCCGCCACGCTAGAGACGTTTACAGGAGAACCATTCTTTAGTACGATTGAAATGCACAACACCTCAATGCCATAGAGTCTATGGCTAATCGTTATCGGCGATATTGAAACAGGTCATAGATGTGCGAACACGAAACTGGCAATCACTGATTCTTCCACTGTGCTTGGCGTTTCTCAACGAAAGCGGTCATGCCTTCTTTGCGGTCCTCCAAGGCCCAGGTTGCGTGGAACATATTTCGTTCGAATCTGATCAAAAAACCGAAAGGAACTGTACGATATCTATCAGTCATAGGTATCAATAATCAATTGATCACAGTTGACAGTTCGTGGTAGGCTATCACGAATTATCAATTGTGCCAGCTCGAATGCTCCCGATGACGCATTGGCAATGCGGCGTTGTCTATTTCGTCAATAACGAGTCTCATTGCCCGGAAGTGAAGAATCAGGCTAAACACCACAAGACTTGAGGCGCTGCTCGGCTAGATTGCGCTGCGCAAGCCAATGAATCATGGGCAATGATTCCCTCAAGCCCCCATGAAAGAGCCCCCATCTCGCAACTCCAACATCACAATGTAGCATTGTCACCATTCAATTACACCTGGATAATAGAATAACAAACTTGGTTGAGGCGAGTGATGACATACTTAGACATTCCTGGAATATGTCCAGTGATTGCTAATCATGCCTTCCGCACGAGCTTGAAGACATTGTAAACAGAGTATGTGCGACCGATTCTGTCATGCACATCAGACCAATGTCTGAAAAGACCCTTGTCGGGGGTCTCTGGATGATAAGTATTATCCGCGTCGTCTTGACGGTAAGATACATAGAAATCTGAGGGACGCTGTATGTTCGGGTCACTGTGCCCGAATAGTTTCTTCACTGGGCTGTGAAATGACTCAGCGGCATTCTTCGTTCCGTGACTCTCCCTGGAATGTATTCACTAGGAATAACCGTACCAAGCTCGACGTTGGAGGCCCAGACCTTACGGCGAAAGATGTCTATAGCCAGACAACAGATCAACAGATTCGTCCTTGAATTGGGATGTATCTATGCATTTGATGATCGTCGTAGCGACCTGCTCCACGGTGTGGAGTTCACATATTGATCAAACGTGATGACGCGTGAGGTTAAGACTCCCGATCCGTGTTATCCCCTCAAAAAGAGTCCTTGATATTTCCACCGCGAGCATAATGGCCAGCAAGAGTAAGATGATCGAGATCATCAGCCATACGTAAGGTCGCCAGACTCGAGAGTCGCTCGTTGGCTACGTGAGGGTGTTACTGGAAGCATCTTGATCACATCCGATGAGGTCGTCGAGGATCAAATCGTAGAAAAGGGTCAAATCATAGCACATAACGAATAATGATACAGATACCCTCGGCGGTAGACCTTCGATTGTGAATAGTCTACAACTGTTCATCAAATAGAGTATGATACTCTAGTATTAGTAGGATACTCTGAGTATCCTACTTATACTAATTAGTAGAATAGTACTATCCTACTAATCTTGGTCATACGCCTATCTCGGCCACTCTCTGTAGGCGTAGACAAACCTTGACAATGCGAGCATGACTCGGGGAGAAATAGTACTATCAGAACCACAAGTTTTTGGTATCCATTTTGGACGCCAACACTGGATAATCCATATTCGAGGTGCAGAATGATCTAGACCATCAGGTTCAATGATGTGGCCGCAACGTCATCTCGGCCGTGATACTTCCCTATCTAGGGATGCTCACCATGCATGCCCGAGGATGAATAAGCCATCTTCGGGCAGAGAAGCACTCATCACGAATTTCAATGGCTAACATCGACCCCCAAATTGGGCACCCCAATGGGATAGGCTCATGAGGTGGTATCACGAACTCCAGATCGGAGCCTGTGCATCTGACGAACCAACCAGACCAAGCTATGCTGCGGCCCCACTGCGACCTAAGTCTGCGGATGATACCGGAGCAGCTCCGGTTACGAGCCGGTGACGTGCTACGAGCTGCTCGTAGCACGAACTACAGGTTATGATACATGGAGATACATGTATGACTGTCATAAGGGATAATCAACTCCTAGTATGATCATGAACTCCATGATTTGACTGAGTCCTAGGTCAGCAAAACTTCGGCAGCGAGAAGCCAAAACTCCTCCGCCCAGAACTAGACCGAACGTCGGTCGTGGACATCGCGAACTGTACTCACCTCAGTCCCTCCGCGAGTGTTGTCTCATAAGCGCGGTTAACTGCTTCCTTCGTCATCGCGATAGCAGGAGCTGAGAAGGAGGCTATTTTTTCGGCCATCTCGAGCGCTTTGGGAACGAGCTCCTCCGAAGCATAGACCTGAGGCTCAGATGGATTGCGAATTGCTCTCGACTTGCCATTTTTCGAAAGGGCTCAGAACGTACGTGCGATACGAGGCCTCTCCTAAGCGCTTCTTCTGCCGGCATGTGTCTGCCAGTTAAACAAAGTTCCATAGCTAAGCTCTTCCCGACCACACGAGTCAAACGTTGACTACCACCCGCACCGGGTATAGTACCCAATGTGACCTGCAAATATCGGGTCCTAACTACAAATATGACAGAAGACTCACCTCTGGTTGTGCGAATACCGCCTTCTCACTCGCAAGAGCAATATCACACATCATGGCTAGCTCGCAGCCTCCACCCAAAGCATAGCCGTTCACGGCTGCAATGACTGGTTTTTTGACATTAGCTAGATCCTGCCAAAAGGCGAGCATGTTCTGCTTGTAAACCTCAGCCATAGTTTGTCGACTATTCATCTCCTTGATATCAGCACCAGCAGCGAACGCTTTTTCTCCAGCTCCAGTGATGACGATAGCATGGATGGCATCATCTTTGTCAAGCGCGTTGGTGGCGGAACTCAGCTCCTTCATGAGGTCGTCACATAGAGCGTTGAGGGACTTTGGACGGTTCAATCTAGTCGAGAAATACAGCTAACTCACGAAGAGCTTTCCCAACTTCTATTACGTCACCAAAGCTGTCCCTTTCTGGGCATCAACGTCGACCAAAATGTTCTTGTATCCCGCGTAAGAAGCGAAGCTGCGATGGAAAGCCCCGAGGACACTGACCCTTGGCACAAAGCACTTAGCGACTTGAGTGAATGATAACATTCTGGGGGGACAGAAAAAAAATAAACCTCTGAGAACCGCGGTGAGTCCTCTGGCTAGATTGCCACACCCGAAAGGGGTCACCAAATTAGCACGCGCGACACAAACATTGTCTCCTCATCAAGAACTGAGACAAGCCGACGCGTGCTAATGACTTACACCCGCGCTGATCACTGCTATTCAACGTCATCATTACGAGTTACAGAAGACCTGACTCTCTGAATTCCCACATCTGAGAATAGTTCCAATCTCATTGAAGTTGCACCAGGCATGATGACCTCGCCATGGGAGCCTCCCATAGCGCCACTGATGACACCCCCATCACTCGCGGATATAAAGAACTCCGACTCGAAAATAGACATGCCAAGATTTCCTTAACAGCAGACTTGATAGTCACAAGCGAGCACTGTGTCAGCGCTGATAGCACCAACATCATAATTGAAGACTACAGGGATGCTCTGTCTCCACCGTGGCCAAAGACACCAACTGCACCAAGCACTGTGCATACTGTTTTCATTGGAGGCCAAGCACAGTCAAAGGCAAGTCGAGTAAGCACAGTGACAACACAGTATGAAGCTCTCATCACCGGTTCTTGACACCTGCAGAGCACAATAGTCATTCCCGTCCGGGAATCCGGCAAGCCTTTCAGAATGCCATCATCATCTAGGAACTGAGTTCGCTACTTCCAGCCGTTAGTAATTCGGGCATCATCAATGGCGATATGGTGGTTTACTATAGTCAGTTTTGCAACGACCCCTGGTTCCCAGTCTGATCCAAACACTGATATAGAAGCAAGCAGCGAGCTATAAGACAAATAGGGCTGAGATTGTCTCCACTAGCGAGCACAACATGACAAACTTTCACGACGTGAGGCTCACGTAATCGCGACGCGTACAAAAATAAAGCTGAGCCCAACTATGACAGATAGTTGGTAAAAGGGGACAGCCGATAGACTGGTGTAATTGACACAATAACTAAAGTTCAACACACTACACAAGTCACAGATACGTCGATAAGTGAAGGAGGCAACAGTAGCGAAGTGTGTACAATGAAGAATCGTCTAGAAACTGTGAGAAGAGAGGCCTACGCTGTATTCTGCAGAGGAGGTAGGAAGCAGGGATCCAACTCAGCATGAGGCCTCACCGGTCTTCGCTCTCTGCAATTGTACCTAATGGGCCAAAGCTGGACACAACACTGACGAGAGAATCGTTACTTAGCGATGAGCTGTTCATAAGGAGCGCTGCCGTCAGCCTTACTAGCAGTGACCTCAGGCGTGCTTTGTTTGGATGAAACCTCTGAAAGCAACGAGAATCGAATAGGACGGAAGCATCAAAGACACTGAGTGGCACGTACCAGCAGCCATAGCCTTCTTGACTTGTTCCTTCAGCTCAGCCTTACGACGTTGAGCCTCCTCACGTTCTTGCCTCTTCTTCTCCTCACTGGCAGCACTAGCAGCCGCTGCCTGACGAACCCAGATCGGAACATACATTTATTCTTCCCCCTATTACCTGTTTCTTAGCCTGTTTCTTCTCGGCTTCCTGTTGAGCCAACTTCTTCTTCCTCTCCAACTCCATCATCTGAGCTGGCGTCAAGCCTTCATCTCTGATGCGCTCCTTCGCCTCCTGGGCCTTCTTTTGATCGCGCTGACACAATCACCACACACGCTGACAAAACAATGTGCCTCCCATACAAAGCAGTACCATCTTCTGCAAATAGGCAGGGACATAGACCTTGGGCTTGGCTGCTTCCTCTTCCTTCTTCGCAGCAAGCCTGAGACACCATCATCATCTACTACTGGAAACCGCCAAGCTCCACCGAGTACCTCTCAGCCTCCTCAATCTCGTGTTTCTTCTCTTCTTCCTCTACCTCAGCGGTGACTTCAGCAGGCGTCTTACTCCAGCCTTTCTTCATCGCTACGTGTGAGACAAATGAACGAGGCAAACTACTGACCAAACCACCCACGTTACCCTCACTAGATTCAACAGGCTCAGGCTGCTGCTCAGTGGCATCTGCCTCATCCTCCTTCACTATGAGATCCGTCTTGACAATCTTGGTCTCGGTTTTCACCAGAGGTTCAGCTCCGCTCACTATTGCGGTGAAGTTGTCCTATCAATGCATATTCAGAGCGATAATGATCACCATCATGAACCTGGCCCTACCTCAAGACTGTGCTCCTCAGTGGTCTCCTCGTTGGTCTCCTCCACTTTGGCCTCCTCCTTCATTTTAGCCGTCATATTCAACGACTTTACCTTCTTCTTCTTTTTGGCGAAGAGAGCCCCCAATCCAGCGGTTGCAGACATGTTGATTGGTAACCTCAGTAACTTCCTCAACAGCAGCATTCCTGTTCATACCCTCGACTATGTCGACTTTAATTTCTGGGCTCACAAGTGTTAGTAGCCTATGACCCTCTTGCCGGACCAACTTAGATAGATTCAGCACGACTAGACCAGATATTCATAATAATAAGACTCAGTTTATAGTGTTCAAGTTGCTCATACCCGCGTACCCAGTAAAGAGTTCCGGTGCACCCACTCAAGTTGGGGTGACAACGTTTTTCGCGCGCGCCTTTGTGATCGATTTATCTAACTCGTGCGCACCACTTCATGCACGGGGTTTACCAGCTTCCACGATGTGGTATCTTACGGCACCATGCATACCGGAGTTGTTATTGTATTTTAACGTTTGTGGAATCGATGATACGTTCTTCCCCTTGTCTTTGCTGTGGTCGGGGGGAGCAGCTGTTGAGCTTTCTCGCCATACAGGGAGCGGCTTTTGTATGTTCAGGACCAATAATTTCTGACAACACAAACTCACACACATGCACTGAAACTATGGAGGTCCAAACCGATCCTCAGCAGTCTCACCATCGGGGTAATAATACGCATGGATCATCTCGTTGGATCTGTCACTACGGCCTCTTTCGAACGCTAAGCTAGCGATGTGTGAAAACCACGTTCAAAAGCGATCGATATCAGTATTGCATTTGGATGACTGATCACGTCGTTGATTATACACGACGTCAAACATAGAACTAGGTTGAAGGGCGGGGCCGAGCCGGTTCGAGAAGTTGAGCTTGGTAACGGCATCACAGTTGGTAGGTAACGTATCTTTTCAATATTCTGTCATCAGATGTGCTAAGTCTCGAGTACTACGACATTTTAGGGTTTCCTCCCGTCGTTAAACTTGGCTCTCATCCTCATCACTATTCCAGATAGGTAGATTCTCCACTAGTGTGCCCCTGCGATCGGCGTGGTAATACTTATTCCCGACGTATCATCTCTCTGTCCTATGTCGGCTTCGTTCCTACTGGCATTCGTATTGGTCGTAAGAGAGAAAAGGAGACCAACTCAACGAAGACCTGCAAGATTGCTGAGCATGGTGGTACGGTCGTGGGGTGTCGCGTAGAAATATCTGAACATGTATTATATCAGAATTTGCCAGCAGATTTCTATATATACGATTCCCTGCGTATCTCTATAGCTCAGCGATGAGGGAGCGTATAGGAGCGATCCAGCTAACACTGGAGAGAGATCACTGAGTGCTTAACCATACTATTTGTAAGCGCTGAGAAACTAAGGAGGGCGGGACTCTTGTTTTCGATTACGCTGTATCTTACTTTTAACTGCCGGACTAGCATCGGCACCGAACGGGGCTCTCTGGATCTCTTCGCATTAGCTGGAGAAATCATTGAAGAGAACCACACTTCTTAACGATACCAAATATTCCTCGAATTGGACCATCGCTCCGCCGCAAAATGCAACAACAATCGTCGCGTTCTGTCTGAGTACTTCTTCGTAGGTATCTTTCGATCAATAGTATGCTACTCGAGCGTTTGGAGTCTCGGCCAGTACATCAGTGCCTCTGTTAGGGAATACGGGTTTATAGAGAAAGCTTATCTTGCTCTATATAGTGATGGTTGCATTGACCTGAGTACTGATGTTGCAATATACAAGCGAATGGTCGTGGGTTCTAACCCTGATGAAGGTGTTTTTGAAATTCTCCTGTATATTGCTTTCGTACTCGCACACAATACGATTGAGGACTACTACGTGTCAGGTTTTCTCTGCGTTAGCTTCTGACTGATCATGCTTCTAGTGATGCTACCTATTACCTTTAGCCCTCCGGAAGCTCCTGTCGAGTCATGTGCCTCTGTGGAAGACATCAAGCTCTTGAGTATTTCTGTTGGAACCATCTGAGTGCCCTCCGTCACATGAGATCATACCTTTTCTCATGGCACGTCTCGTCTGCTTGTGTTGCGTGTAGTTTTGCGAGGATTTTATGGTATTGGTGCTCAGAGTGATTTCTCCCATTCCTGTTGTCTTTGGCACAGCAGCGAGTGTATCATCAAGCGCTTGGCTCATTGAAACAGTAAGATGACTAAAGTCCTGAGCGACGATGAAGTCGCATCGTTGGACGAGCAAATAGAGCGTGTTACCAACATGGGTCTTCTCACAGAGGCCGAATGCAAGAATCTGTGCGAGAGGGTTCGAGAGTTGTTGCAGGTAGAGGGAACGGTCGCGTTCTTTTCATATCGTTTAATTGATAGCTTTCAGGAAGAGTCTAATGTTCAGCCGGTCCGATGCCCTGTCACAGTCTGTGGAGACATTCATGGGCAATTTTTGGACCTCAAAGAGCTCTTCAGAATCGGCGGGAAACCTCCAGAAACTAACTATTTATTTTTGGGTGATTACGTGGATCGAGGGTAGATGCAATTTGTTCGTAACGAGTGTGGAAAACTGTGATGGTTACTCAGATATTATTCTCTGGAGACCGCGGCGCTGATGTTCTTGTATAAGGTCCGCTTTAAGGATCGTATCACCCTTCTGCGTGGCAACCATGAGACGAGGCAAATCACACAAGTAGAGTTCGCACCACTTGGTACGTGAAAAGTGGCAGCTTGCAGGTTTATGGTTTTTATGATGAATGTTTGCGGAAGTACTCGAATCCAAATGTGTGGAAGTACTTCACAGACACCTTTGATTACCTCCCCCTCACAGCATTGATAGAGAATCAGATCTTCTGTCAACACGGCGGCCTCTCGCCTTCTATCGACCTGTTGGACCATGTTCGCCAACTGGTAGTCACTGCTTGTCGTCTGTTGGACTAGCTGTATCATCATTGTGGCAGGATCGTGTGCAAGAGGTTCCTCATGAGGGCGCCATGTGTGACCTGCTCTGGTCCGATCCTGACGAACGCTGCGGATGGGGAATCAGTCCGAGAGGCGCTGGGTATGTTATCATGGATCTTTCCGGTGGAGTTCATTGATATTAGGTACACCTTTGGGCAGGATATCTCAGAACAGTTCAACCACGCCAACGGTTTGAAGTTGATCGCCCGAGCACACCAGCTGGTCATGGAAGGCTACAATTGGTGTCACGACCGGAATGTGGTGACCATCTTCTCGGCACCAAACTATTGTTACCGATGTGGCAACCAGGCAGCCATCATGGAGATTGACGAGAATCTTAAGTATATCAACCCACATAGAGAAATGACGATATTTACTCGATGAGTTCAGGTACACTTTCCTGCAATTTGATCCGGCCCCCCGTGAGCAGTCTTCGCCTGATATTGCCCGAAAACTACCGGACTACTTCCTCTGAGCTCACCAAGGCCCGAGAAGAGGTCGATGCTGTTCGTGCACTGTATATGGTTATTATTGCTATCTATATTCCCGTTATGATACAGCAATATATTCGGCTTGTGTTTGAAGTGAATGACGCTTGTAGAAGGCGTGTTCATCACTAAAGCGTTGCACAACGAGATACACGAGCGTTCGGTAAAGTCGCTCGTTGTGGTCCCTATTGAATCGGCCAAGAGGCTCACGTGATGGTTTGTGAAGCGTTTAGTTTAAACTGAGCGTGATCATCAATTCGGGTTTGGGGTCTCTACTAATACTACGCTATTAGAGGGTCCATAGGCGATGTCGCTCTCTTCGCACATTAGTATAGATATACTCTGACCTATATAGCAAGCCCGGCGGCAGCTACATGGTGCATACTTGTATCGAGGTTCAGTGATGGCGAGACGTATATAATCAACTAATGTTATTGACCTTGTGCTGTTACGTAGTGAGTCGACACTATACTGGCTTCCTCTGAGACGTATGAGATTGAGAGCGTTCGTGATGCTAGTACTGTAATTCCACATGGTGATGGTCCTCGAGAACCCTTTCCATGCAAGACACGATGAATTTACCCGCGAGCGAGACACCAATAAGCTTCTTGGTGATACCATTTTCTGGCAACACTACGAAAAGATACCTGTGAGTATTCTGTGCTCGCTCTAGCTGAACTGTGTTGTTGAGATAATATCGGCAACGCAGAGCTTGTACAGTACGGGATCCAAACTAGGTACGGTTCGTGTACAAGGCTGGCTCAATAGAGTACAGAAATCTCAAACTCATGTTACTCGAGATGATATTCTACCTATCCATTGTGACCTCTCTGACCGCATTCATGTAACAGGTTAGTCCTACAGTGAAAAATGTCATTTTGGAGGTACAACCACATCGATGCCTCTCTGGAGTTCGAATCCCGACAACAGCAACAGCTTTACTGGGGACAGTGCACTTCAGATGAGAGCCAGCGTGATGGATGTAGAATAGATGAAGTCACAGACATCAGTTCCTTCTGGAACTGGTAGTAGAGATGCTAGCTCACGAACGACTATATGCTCTCATGGAGGTACCAAGACTCCCTTATTCCCCTGGCTTTCAACGTTGTCGGCGAGCAGGATCTCTTACAGCAGGTCAGCCGCGGGAAATGCTCATCATTTGACATGTCCATCGTCATTAGTCATCGTCCAGGCTGTAGCGAATTTGCCATCGAAGATGCCTTTCTGAGTTGTTAGGCACTATTACAGAGTAGATCAGCCGATGACGATGCTTCATCTTCGATGGAACAGTACCCGTCATTGGCCCCATCCGTGACCCCTCCCGCTGGTTGGCTCAATGAGATGGCTCCATCCGGGTCTACACTGGCAAACGGCACTTCTCTCGACTCGGACCTCTCAGGTATGGTTCACGGTTGAGGACGACTCAAGACTCGGCTCAGGTCTCGAGAGTACCACCATTCCTGTTTGGCCCGAGCATGTGTCCACTCTATTCGTACCCAATGAGGGTGTGTCAAACCATAATCATCTCAGCGGTATCTTCCTCAATCAGAATCCATCGCTTTCAAGCCTCGTTATGTCGGGGATACGAAAACTAATATTCTAGTGGGATCCGTTAGAATACGACAAGTCGCTGTCACTCCACAGAAGGGCTGTGCAATTCAGGACGACCTTCTCCCTGTTCATTCGGTGGTTTCTGTGGCGCGTGACTCTTGCTCATGTGAATCCATTACAGGTGTGTTTTGGGTCGTGGTCCCATGGTAACCAATATAAGCTCAAAATAGCCAATATAGGAACACCCGAACGCGCCAAAGACGCTTATGTGTAATTTTGTATTGCTGACGCGCTCCAAACCTGCTCAACAGATGGCGATCCAAGAGTGAGACCACTCAGAAAGCTCCCATGATAGGGAAAAACTCACACGAGTACACGGGTGATGGATACACCTTCGACTTGCCAGAAGACATCGTGCAAGCCTTTCGAGTTAGACCGCTCCGATTCATAGAGATCTTCAGCCCCCCGCCATCAGGTGGGCGACGACTTGCAGGAGTGGGAGTGGCTCGACATGGCAACCAGAGCTGTCATTATAGAGTTGTCCACCCTCAACCCCAATACCAATATGATCGTTAGCACTAGGCTACTATTCGAGTAAAACGATCGTTCATTTGACAATCTATGTTGTTCGCGACAGATTCGGTCCGGATGGTTCGGTCGGGGTCAAACAAGAGCACACTCCTTTACCAATCGATCAGATCTCGCTGCCCGTAATGCGTGGCGCAGCGGTCAGGCCGGAGACGTCTACCATCGTAGGTCATGCTCGATGGTGGAAAGTATCTCTCCGTATTCTTCTATCAAATTGTCATCACCGGGCAGTTTTTGATCTTTACTTTGTACTTCGTCACCAACTTGTACAAGGCGCGCTCCCTCCGCTATTTCAAGTAAGATTCCCGAGCGCACTCGTACCATAGACACGGAGCAGGTACATCTGGAGTATAGTCGACTTCCTCATTATCATCCTCTTCTTTTCCTACCTCTCGAAGCGCCTGCAGTTCCTATCAGTGTTAGATAGCGAGCCAAGTCTAAGGCCTGAACTCCTTCCACTGCCAAAAACAGCTTTCATGCCGTCAGTCCGCTGAGCCGATCCATATATGAAAGAGCAAGAGCCCAGCCAGATACTCAATATTCCGCGAACCTCTGAGGAGCAGCCGCAGCATCTTCGCTCAGCTCATCCTCGTTGTCTGGCTCAAGCTACTCAAGTACATGACAATATTCAGCGCCTTCAGACCCTTCGTCAGAGTCATAGAACGCTGCATGTGATGCCCAGTCTCCAGCGCAGCGTGAATCGTCTGGTAGATGCGAGCTGGCCGCACTAGCGCTACTCTGTATCGTCCTCTTTGTGGGCCTGGCGCTTCCCTTTCATGTTCTACTGAGCTCAATAGTAATCAATCGCTACTAATACTGATACCGATCCTCTCGCACTAGGTGGGCGAGTTCACTTGGATGCGCGGTAGTCTTTATGCGCTCCTGTTCATGCTTGTACGTGGGCCGACGGATTCCATCATGCAAAGAATTCTCACCGAAGAGCCCCAGATGGGGAAGCTCATATTCATGGTGTATGTCTAGTCCTACTCATCTTTCATGACGAGATTGTCACGTGGCAGTTACATAGTGCTCCTGGCCTTACTGTTGGTTCCTTTCTTCTTTGGAGTGGTGCTCGATGTTTATAACGAGCTCAG